GCTCGGGTTTACAGCAGTTCCCCAGTTCCACAAGGATAATGACTGGAAGTCTGTGAAGTTTGAAGCGGATCAGTCTTGCTCGGTATGTGCTGGGAGGCAGTGCTCTGAAATGAGACCTGATGTGACTAAATGTGGGTAAGCTTGATCTGGTTTTACCAGGAAGGTGTCTAAAAGGTGAGCTTGTGGCTTTTATGAAGTTAATAATGAAGTTAGTGTTTCATTAACTGTGCAGAAATTGCAGTGCATGCCATGAAAGGGTTGTCTCTGCAGATGTGAGTAGTCTTGGTTGTGCTGCAGAACAGTTTAACTGAATGGTGGGATGTGTTCACGTAGAAATATTCCCAATACAAACAGCTGGATGAATATACCTACACTGGTTTTGCTGTTAGACCGGTATATTCAGAGTAAACCCTCCTGCCCCTCTGACTTTTAAAATCCTGTGGAGGAACTTGAAATTCCATAGCATTCTTATCAAAATGCTTTAAAGCCGTGAAACATTCCTGTTTGTACCAGGCTCTGTAAGTGTTTGTTCTTTTCTTCTCCCCCCCCCCCCCCCCCTTTGTAATATAAAACCTAAATTATGTTGGTGAAGATTATAGGTACTTCCCTGTGAAGAAATTGATACTTTATAGTGAGGGAGCAGCAATTCAAAGGTCAAGTAAGGTCTTCTCAGTTTTTTCCTTAGAGATGTTATTTAGAGGGGTTCTTCCTATGTTGATGTCTCATTTATCTCAAGCCAGACCAAGTGACTAGCTGCTTTTTCTTCAGGCCTGCAAGGCTTTCTTGTGCCAGTACCATGAATGTTTGAGGAGGGTGGCTGGTGGCTCTTGGTGAGACAGTCTAGTCCTTGCTGAAATTGGACTCCCTTTGGCTTGGAGAGTTGTTAGAAGCGTGATCAATGTTTGGCTGTTCAGGTGGCCTCTCGCTATAGTTGCCGGATGATCTAATAGAGTGGGTATGCACATTATTTGCACCCCCCAGTGACATTGTTCTTGTTTTTAGTTAAAAGAAGGAAGTTTTTCTTGTTTGCCTCATGACTCTGTCCTCCTGGTATGAAGATGAGTAATGCTGGCGCTGCTCCATGCACCTGCTCGCTGCCACCCTTCAGGATCACCTGAGCCACAGTCAGCAGATCTGGGCAAGCAGGGGTTGGATGGTTGAATGGGAGCTGGGGAAGTGTTTATGGTTGGAGGCTGAAACCCTCTCTTGGTCAGGAGCAGGTGCTAAAATGCTGTCACAACTTTGGGATTTGTTGTGTGCTGCCTTGCAGGTTTGGGTGTTGGCGCCAGATGTTGGGAACCTTTATTCCTAAGGACTATCCCAGTGTGTATTCACTCCCTTCCTCCTCCTTGGGTAGGACTGAAATGAACCAAAGAGCATTCAGTGATAACCTGCACTATTCATTAAATAATTTTGGGCCTTGCCCTTGTGAGTTGTATTCCTGACCACTTCAAAGCGAGTGTGTGTGCACAACAGGCACGTTTCCAGTGGTCTTATGGACACTCATGTGAAGTGAATTTTGCAGGATCAGGCCATCAGCCTGCTGGGTTTTGCATAGGCCACGCAGCAAAGGCATGTTTCTATTAAACAGAGGGTGGCTCAGCATGGGATCTGGTCTCTGCAATTGCCCAGGGACTTCATAGCCAGCCTTTTCTATGCTATCTCTGTTTTGTGTTCCCTGCTTGTGTTAGAGCATGCAGGTATGTCTGAAGATAACTCTGAACCTAAAAAACAACCAAAGACTTCATCTAACTGATAGCATCCTATCATCACCTCTGCCAACCAGGATAAGCAGGATCACATGTACGTTGCTTAAGTAGAACACAGAATAACTTAGCAAAATGTACTGCTTAAGTTTGAAGTCTGCCACTGGCACTGCGTTGTTTTGTGTATGACACAAAATTTAGTAGTAAAACTGAAAGTGTTTAACTGTTCTCCAGCGCTTTTGAGGTGGTGAACCTGTTCCCATCCCACCTGATGTGTAAGCTAATTAGCTTCTTGGCTAAGCAGTATTTCTGGGCAAGTAGGTACAGGCTGTCCTCACAGGGACTCTTGCATTCCTCTTCGTTTCACAAGCTCAAGGAAGATGCTTCTCTTTGCTTGTGAGGTTATTATTGCTCCATGCAGGTTAATTGAGCTATAGTATTATAGCCACTCATCAAGCAGTGGTGAGTAGCTCACTTGTCTAAGCTTGTTTATTTTTATAATGCTCAAAAGTATTTGCATGCTGTACAGAAATGTGCTGCTTTGGTTCCTTCCAGCCTGGCAGTATTGTAATTTTAAATTCTTTATTAATCTTTCTTCCTCATGAGGGACTGGCAAGGTTCCTGTGCATAATTACATGATGTTGAAGACAGAAGCCTCAGCTACTGAATTTTTACACAATGCCCTGCAAACATGGGTCTTTTCTTCCTTAAATAGTACCTATGCTGCCTCCCTTTTTATGCCCGTTCTTGATCTCAGCATGGATACATGCAAGTATTTGCAATTCCTGTGTTAGTTCTACCAGTTCTAGACTAATGTTTTGCTCAAGAACATACAGATGGAAACTTACCATGAATAATTTCGGGCTAGAAGTTAGAACAAGGTAGTAAAATGATAGAGCTATGGTGCACAGGAGCAAGCTGTGAAATCGGTTCAGCCCGGGAAATCTCCCTCACAGTGTTTTCTTGGAACAGAATTAGTCTAAAACTGAATTTTCCACTTGAAAAACGAAGTGTCTGTGGGCTTTGCGGTTATGGAGAGTGCACCATCCAACCCATAAGCCAGTCCAGTTTTGCAGAGTTGTTGGTAGTCTGAATTCAGCCATATCCATCATAAGAGATTTAGGCTAAACCCCCAAATAGGTCTGCTTAAAATGTCTACAGAACCTATTCTGATTTCCTTCCAGCTCTATCATAACAACTTTTCCAGTGCACCTCACTGATTTCCATCTTTGGCACACTGAGAATTGAAATTGCTGGAAGAGCCTAACACAAATAGAATTTGGTGTCCAAATAAATAACACATGGGCTGCAGTACCGACTGTATTGTTCATTTTTGTGTCTCATTACACAGAAAAGTTAACTCCCTGGTTCTGCCGTGAGTTTCCAGCTCGCTCAGAAAGCAGATTTCAGGAATGCTGCCACCCAAGTTAGTTGCACAAGATTTTCTTTGTTAATTAGAAATAATGGGATAAAACAAAATAGGCTTGATGCGAATAGTTGGTATATAAAGAAAGGAGGTTTGCTGGCCGGAATATCTTCATATTGTATCTCTGTCCACCTTTTGGTTTGGATTGCCAGGCTGAGTCCTGCTTTACATCCACACTAAAATTAGTAATATTCAGTTCCAGCAAATACTTTTGGTGTGAACTTGCCCTCCCTTCATAGGTTCAGCAGAATGAGCTTGTACTGCTGTGAAGTGAAACGCTGTGTGTGAGATGGTTGCATACAGAATTACTTCCTTGAACGTTTGAAGGAGTTAAACATGCACAGATTGAATCTGTCTGTTGAGAAAATCTTTAAGGCTGAGAGGCAGAATCTCAAGCTGGGTTGTATCTTTGTATTAAAAAAATAAACACAAACACACCACCACCCCCTTAGATTTTTCCAGTTGAGACAAAAGAAATCTTTGGGTGGAAAGGCAGCATCATATTGCATAATAAAAGCCTTTTTATGCTCTAATAAAAAGGGTTGCTTAGGGCAGCTTTGCTTTGGAAAAAAAAAAGCATTAAGAAGAAGAGTCAGTGATGATGCTGGTGTGAGAGGGACAAGGAATCCTCAACGTGTGTTGTGCAACACTGGGAAAAGAGGCTAGAAGTTGCTCTCGTTATCTGGTATCTTAATGCCTGGTTTAAAGGTTCTTTACTGCATATTTGCTGGCAGCTGTTTTCAATATATCCCTCTCGAGCTAAGTCACCAGTTAAGAATTTGACATTAGATGTTTTTTTCAACCACCATCTTGAAGTACCACACCACACAGCACAGCCTTGTTCTCTGCTTAGATATTGTTCATGTGCCTTGAAATTGCTGTTGACACCTCAAGTATTTAACTTGCAGATCGGAGATAATTTTTTGGGGGTGTGGATGTGTGCCATAAGAAGGCAGAGACAGAAGTATCCACGTCTGCATTCCTTCACTGCATCTGTTCCCTTTAGTTTTTTTGCAACATTCCAGGAAATTAAGTTAAATTATCCATCTCAATGAATATTTTTAATTTCACTAGTTCTGCCCTTAAAGTACAAGCATACTGTATGCACAAGTATGTTCCACTTCTTTTGCATCTTTTGCCTTTTTTGTTAGGACACCTTCAGTAGTTGTTTAACTGCTTCTTGAATAACATGCCCAAATACACGTTTCTCCTGATTCTCCCCTCAATGGTTAAAAGTTTCTTCAGTGCTTTATATTCTGAAAGAGAAAAATAACATAATCAAAGAATGCTTTGGGAATTAGAGCTGTGCTCTGCAGTATATTTCTGGCATTCAGTGTCCTTTTCTTCCTCTCACTTTCCCAGTCTGTAAAATAAAGCTAATATTCATATACTGATCATTCTCACAGACATTTCTGAGGCATAATATGTTGAAGTTCATAAAGCATTTAACCATAGCTCTGTTCATCAAAGGATTTGTGCTGTTGTAGTTTGAAATCTATGGCACCACTGGAAAAGGAGCCATAAGCACAGGCATCATCATCTGTGCTGCAGCTTTCATTCTTAGCAAAAAATAAAACAATGGAGTTAAAGAATTAACGGGTTTTAATCACTGTTTCACTTGGAGGCACAGATGGGACAAAGCATTACTTGGCAACCTTTAATCTTGGAGCAGAAATTGTCATGATTAAAGCAGCAGCTGGAGTAGATTGTGAGGACAGGGGGGTTCATTCATTCTAAAGGGACCAAAATTGTTGGGTTCTGGGAGAAAATGAGAAGCTACAAAAGCAAAATCTGAAATATGGGCCAAGGTTTATTATTCTTGGGGTCTCATCTGCTGATTAAAACAATGTTTTCAATGCTTTCCTCAGAATTATTTTGGAAGCGAGGAGAGTGTCAAGTGATCTGGCCTACTGAAGAGGAGACCGAAGCCATCTCTGAGTGGAGATTTTGGACTTGCATGAGGAAGGCTGTGTGTCCCCCCATGTGGCAGAACTGCTGCTCTTTACCAAGGAAGTCAAAGTGAAGGAAATAGGTATGTGCCACTTCAACTAGGATTTCAGAAGAATCACATTAACAGGCCAGTTAACAGGGCCTGAATTCCTAGTTGAGGCAGCCTGGAGCGAGGGGGGGTTTGACTTTCTCTTCATTAACGGTTGCAGAAGGGTTCTGTCTGCCTGATGTGTCCAGGCCTTGTATCACAGGGATAGATTCCTGCAGCAGGCTGGCCCAAGGGAGGTAACTGGGTGGTTGTGGAGACACAGAACAAAGCAGACCCTTCAGGTCTGACTCCTGTAGTCCATCCTGGTTTTGCCACGGAACCAGCTGTTGGGAGCAAGTTACCTTTTGCTAAGGGATAATGTTAAACAGAAAAAAGGGTTCAAGATAAAGTGCTAGAATGCCAATATGCACTCTGCTGTTAGGGCAGCGCCGCAGCTTAGCCAACAAATAAAGCATGCTCTCTATTCTGGACTGTTCTAGCTCAAAAGTAGCTCTGCTTTTAGTTAAATGTCTCAGAGGTATCATTAATTTTGGATATTTCAACTCATGCAAGGCCAGCGGGCATGAGTTTCCATGACAAATTGCTGGCTCCACTGGGAGACTGAGTGAAGTGTAATCACTGCTGGTCACTGACTTAATCTGTACTTAGGATGTGCTTGACATTGGCTCTTTGTATTTCTCTAGTTAATGCACAGTGTTTTTTCCTGCCACTCAGAGGTCATTTTCTGTTCCTTAGGTCAGACAACTCTTATTCCTCCTCTTGCATTTGCATGCATTCAGCTGATGGTATTTAGATGTGTGAAGATTTGGTTGCCTTTGTATAGCAGAAAGTTGCAAAGTCCTCACTTGCACCAGTACATTGTGCTTTCTGCAGCAGGGAGACTAGGTGCTGATCTCACTTAGGGTATTTCATAACTCTAAAAACCTGCTGGCTGACAAGGTATTCATTAATTGCTTTAAACGATCTAAGCTAAGAGATATCTTTACTTCCTTTGAACCATAGACTGTCTCAATGGGCCTCTCTTTTCCCTCCTCCCCACCCCCTTAAAACCGACAAATTGCTGATTTCACCCTTTAATCCTTGTCTGCTTGCAAATATGGGGAGTGTATTTCACTGTTGGTAGCCCCAAATGTAAAGCAAACAGGTCTTAGGCATTTTTACCATCATCCTGGGAGTTATAGGTCTCCTTTTCTGCCTGAAAGCAGCCTTGCTGTCTGAGGTATTCAGCATACATCCTACAGCTTGCAGTCCATTGATATTCCTATAAACTTTCAAGTCACCTTTCATCACCTTTCGAAGCTTTGCCCCCTGGCATGCAAGTCCTTCTTAGGTCAAGGGCCTTAATGACCCCATTGTTATGAGAACCTTTGGTAATCTAACCTGCTTTTTCTCTCCTGTATTTCAGGCCATTGCTCTTAAATGTCTCTTGCTTGATCCACTCAGGCGCTAATAACCGTGTCTCCTTTCCTTAGGTCAAGGGCAGCTTTTACATTCCACCCAAAAGGCACCACAGTTTGAGATGAGGAATTCAGAAGAGCAAGCAGCTACGACAGTTTTACAACGCCTGCTGCAGGAGCAGCTCAGATACGGAAACCCAAATGACAACCGTAACCTTCTTGCCTTACACCAGCAAGCCACAGGAAATGCCCCCCCTTTCAACAGCACTGGGAGTCCAGCATCTCAGAACGAAGGGCTGAGCTCCCAGGACCACCAGCTTGTGACTCATGCTGCCCGTCAGGAGCCCCAGGGCCAGGAGATACAGGTGGACAACAGCATCATGGAGAAGCAGCTCTCCCCACGACTTCAGAACAGTGAGGATCTCCCGACCTATGAGGAAGCCAAAGTGCAGTCACAGTATTTCAGGGGCCAGCCACATGCTAGTGTCGGGGCAGCGTTCTATGTAACAGGGGTCACCAACCAAAAGATGAGGACTGAAGGGCGGCCCACGGTTCAGCGGGTGAGCCCAGGGAAGGTCCACCAGGATGAAGGACTGAAGGACCTCAAGCAAGGGCACGTCCGCTCCTTGAGCGAGAGGCTGATGCAACTGTCCTTGGCCACCAGTGGGGTCAAGGCCCACGCGCCTGTCACAAGCGCACCTCTCTCCCCCCTTTCCCCGCTTTCTCCTCAGCAGTCCAGCGACCCTTATAAGAATTCTGGCTCCAATGAGTTCTACAAGAACTCGGTGCAGGCCCCTTCCCAGCCCAGCATGAAAGGAATGGAGCAGCGGGGTCCTCCTCCAGAGTATCCATACAAAAATATGTCCACCCCATCTATGAACTGCAAACCTCAGGACTCGGGACATTTCTATAGTGATCATCGCATGAACCAGCAGGGAAGATCTGATGGGCCAATGATGAGGTATCAACATCCCCCTGAGTATGGGTCAGTCAGGTAAGCAAGATCTTAAACCAAACTCCTTGACAGCCACACGCGGAATGACAGGATAAAACTCAGTCCATCACCCTCAATCCTGAGGCAGGTTTTCTTTCAGCACAGATCTCATCTGTATTATGTGAGATGACATACTGTGTTCAGCTACAGACCATGTCTGGAAGGACAGTAACATGTTTCAGTAGCTACCTACAGAGGCTTGACTCTTTATTAAAAACCCCAAAACAAACACAAACTAAAAATACTCTGACAAACAAAACGAGTCAGCTTGAGTTTATGGCATGGGGAAGTTTTAACGCTGAGGCTCCAGAGCCTTACAAAAGGTTTGCTACAAAAGCCAAAGTTAGGGTGTGATTCATTGTAGAAACTTGCAGTTACTTATTGCAAGACTTAAGCTGTTATTTAATTACATCTGCCCAGACAAAAGAGGTTTTTTTAGCTTTAAACTGCATCTAAATGCTATGTAGGAAAGGAGAAAGTGACTGAAAGCAACAGTGGTGCAGGTAACAGCCATCACCTGAACTTCCTTTGGAGTTTCTCAGACATTATATTCAGCGGACCAAAGTGTGAGAGTGGGAAATGAAGCTTGCTTTGTGCCTCATCCCAGGCTTGCTAGCTTAGCTTTCACATATTTTCCTTGCATCATTTGAAATCTCAGCCTGTTCTGGTTTCCTTTAGATAAGGAACTAGATTTGGCTTAAGCCAACACTGATGTCCATGTGGGTGAAGGTGAAGTTTTATTTAGGTGGGCTGAAAATATGGCTTGGCTTAACCTGTTCTCTTAGCATCTCATCTCTGTCCAAGTCCAGGTGAGATTTGGTATAATGATTTTGGCCTCATTTTGAAGCTAAAAGGATAATAAAGAGGAGGGTGTTGCTACACTGAGTAAATGGTGAGGTCTCTATGCATTGATATTTGCACATACTGTGTTGTCCTTGGAGGGGAGCACGAAAAAGTAACTGGTCTGTATTTGAGAGCAGAGTCTGAGCTTTGGGGAATTTGAATCTACTCAGAACCTTCCTAGTCCTATGGGGAGCTATTTTCAGAGTTTGTCCACCATTGTTTGTGATCTGAAATGACTTCAGCATACAAGCCTGATGAAAAGGCCCTTTGATCTGGCTAAATAAATAATAAAGAGGCCAGGAAAAGGGGAAGTAAAGGGTTTTGGGGGGTAATGATTGTAGAAGCTCGTTGCAAATGTTTTTGCAAATGCAAAGGTCTTGAATCTCTGTGCATACACGAAAGGGAAACAGATCCTTAATGGTTATACTGCATCAGAAATACTCATGATATTGCATATAGTAAATCTAAGACGCAGCCTGCTTGCTGTTTAAGGGAGAGGTATTTGAAAGCACGCCAACAGTCAGCTCTTCTAGACAGGGTGATTTTTGTCTGTATTGGATGGATCCTGGCTGCTTTGAAAGAACATGGTGGGGGAAAAGGAGGGGGGAGGAGAAAGGTTCAGCTGGCAAAGTTTCCAGTAGGGGAAGCAACTGAAATTTGTCTTCAAAGCATTGGGAATCTAATGAGGTTACTTTTTAACCTAAATAGCTGCACGGAGGAAAGGTTTCCTTTGCAAGCGAATGCTGATGCAGTAGAACAATCGCAAGACTAATCCATAAATTACAGAGCAGCGTAGCAAAGGAAGGGAGCAAGTCCTCTCTTCCCCTCCCTCTCCCACACACTTGTAAGAGAAACTGTCACTGAGACAAGAAACCTTCTGTGTTACTAAAGGTGCAGCTGGGTGATGGTGTGTGGATTTTAAAGGCCCTCAACTTCCAGGAGGACATTTGCCTGGCTCTGGGCAGCGCTGAGCAGTGGCTTTGCAGCCTCGCTGGGGTGATAAAGTGCTTTCCGAGGCTCCAGTTTTCCCAGCTCTGTGTTTATGGGGATTAATTTGGGCTGGTAAATATGTGCATTTTTTGAACTGTGTGTCAAGGAAACAAAGCCCCTTCTTTCTGCTGGTGAAGCCGCACCCTTTGCTGCGGGTTTTTCCCCTCATTGTTCGGGGGAATTTGAGGGTGACCTAACGATGCGGTTTAAATAAAACTCGTTGAGCAAGATAAACATTGGGGAATTCACAGCATTCTCGTGCTTCACCCTCCCCAGTCTGGGAAAGGAATGGGCTGTGTGGTAAGTTTAAACCAGTCTGCAAATACTTTGCCTCACCTGCTCCTGGGTGGTGTAGGTTTGGGAACACATATGTGTTGGTAATGATGTTGGTTTAATGTAAATACCGGGCATGCCGGAGGCATCCAGGCTGCTGTTTGGAAACTGTAAAGACAGTTCAGAAGAGGGATGGCTGCAAGTGAAGCCCCGAAATCCAGTTCTCTCCCAAATAGCTCCACTGCACATTAGCACTGGTGATGAAAACAAACCTGCAGGTCTAAGAGGGGAAGATGGGTGCCTTGGGCTCGGTGTCTCATGGGGTTGCAGGATCTCCTGTGGCAGAACAGTGGGAGCTGATGCAGTTTTGGGTGCAGAGGAAGCTCACTGTCTCTGATTCAAGCGGCATCCTCTGCTGGGAGCCCAAATGACTGAGCTCCTGCTGCGGTGATTAATCCTGTTGACTTCACAGAAACTTTTTGAGAAAGAGGTCTGTAGAATTTGTCCCATAATTAGTAAATCGCTTCTGTGCACTGCGTTCCCCTCCGCAGCATCAAAGTGGGGGATAATCAGGTATGACTGGGAAGCAGACCAAAAATGCATTGGTTTGATTTCAGCTGCCTAATGAAGTGAAGTCTGCTCCCTCCTGCTGTCAGCGTGTCCCTGTTCATGCAGGGGGGCTGTGGAGGAGAGAGGAGCTGTAGCTTCTTGAACATGAAACAGGCAGGAGAAGCTGGGAAGGCAGAAAAAACTTTAACAAGCCAGAGACCTTTCCTGATCTCTTCGCATTTCTGCCCTCCCCATTTTGCTGCCCTACCTGCAGACATATGTGACTTATGTTTGCAATCCTGGCAGCCTCAGAACTCCCAGTGGCTGGGATTGCTTGCAGAGCTGCCCTTGCTCCGTAGCTCTGTCTTCAGGACTTAAAAGCTAACATGACCCTTGTAGTTGTAGAACCATAAATCCAGGTTTGTACTTGGTGTGTGTCTCTGATACACACCAGGGGCTGTAAGGGAAGCAGAGATTCTTGTGTGATACAGTCTTCAAAATGAAGAGGCCCTTACAGTTATGTTTTCAGACTTAAAGACCCGGAGGAATTGTTGCTCTGAGGCTTTTTTTCCCTGTGTTTGGGGTTTTGAGCTCTTCATGACACTGAGGCAAATGGAAGGAGATTGTGTAATTTTGTTTTCCATGTATTTTGAGAGTCTTTCTGCATTCTTACATGGAATTTTGATGACTACTGCAGGGTTACTCAAGGACTGAAGCTTTCATGGAGGGAAGTTGCTGCTACCGTGCTATCAGCAGTTCTGTTAGGTGACCCCAGTAGTCATTTGTACCTTGAAATTTTGCAGGCTTGACTTAAAAATATTGAGAAATGCAGCTGGGTTCATTCCTTTACCTTTCGGAATCTCCCAGTCCAAAATTGGTTTACCAGAGAAACAAATTCTGCAATTCTCATGTTAATCTGAGGAATCTCAGAACCAGGTAGAGTGAACCCACAGAATAAGACAAAGTGAAGCAGATGCTAAAGAGTTCTTTGAACGAATATGTACAAATTTGCATGGAAGATCTTAATGAGGTTGCTGGGATTTTATGTGTTAGGATGTTGTGTTACCTCATTTTGCTGGGAATATAAACACATTTGGGAGATTTTGGATGCTCTAGTGCTTTTGGTAATGCCACAGAACCAGAGGCTCCCAGCTATTCTGTTTTAGCTTGAACCCACAAGATTGGTGTTTCAAGAATGTGAGAGGGTTTGGATGTGAGAGCCAAGATGCTGGAAATCTTGGAAATGTCTCTTGGTTAGAAATGCTCAGCCATGGTTTCCTAGAGTTGTTCTTTACAATAGGTTTTAAAAAAAGTCATTTCCAGGCATGTCAGTACAAAGACTGTCCCTTCAGTATTTAGCTTCTGCTGTCGTTTCCCTTTGGACATCTTTGTGCTCCTTTCATTAGCTCTCAGGTTCTGCAGAAATGGCAAGATTCTGCCCATGTGTCTCTGATGAGATGCTTTTAGTCAAATAGCTCAAATTGTTAACTTTGACATCTAAACAGTCCATCTAAATAGGCTTATAACACTGACACACCAAGATCAAGTCAGTCTGAGTAACTGCTTCAGACTGTTTTCAGACTGGAAGAGTATCGGTTCAGAACTGGAAATGTGGTTTATTGCATCCATGAGGCAGGCTGGCAGCGTATCTCTTTTGATCTAACCTCTGTAGGTCATCAGAGATTAAATGTCACAGCAGGGTTATTCCCTAATTGATTATAACATCAAAACAGAGGTGTCAGGTAAAGAATAATCTGAAGGAGATGAGTGGTTTCTGGAGATGGAAAGTTTTAACTCTGCGCATAACTGGGTGAGCTAGGAAAGGAGCTGGAAACCACCTGAGACAAAGCAGACAACCTTCAGAATGGCATGTGATGGGTTTGCCTCATTCTTCATTATGAGAACTGGCAAATAAGGGTAATGAGGTAAATGCAATGATAAGTAGAGCTGGCCTCCCAGGAGGGAAAAAACCAAAGTGCTGCTACTAAGCTGCACATTCCTGAGGAAATTAATTGCACGTCTCTCTTCTGCATCACCCCTGAGATCCTCATGCTGCATAGAATCATTTCTGGGGAAATACAGCTTCTGAAATAATGTTGCTGGTAGGGGCCACAGTCACCTGAGTGTGAAGAAGAGAGAAACAGTAACTAGAGCAATAATTAGTTTGGTTTTTCCTAAGTGACAAGGCTAGATCTGTGTTCCCATTAAGGAATTTGAATGTGAGCTTGGAGGTTTCTGTGCACCTTCTCTGCTGGAAGGCAGGGAAAATGAGACATGAGATGCATGATACTGAAAAGTGAACCCTGTGCTGGGCTGAGAATGTCCAAACTCCTCTGTGCACTGCCAGCCAGATGTGAGTAACGCAGACATTTCCTCTTTGGACCCCTATGAAGAGTTGATACATTCTTTCTGCAGAGAACAGGAAGGATGATGCTGAGCGTTAGCATATCGGCTGAGAAGCCTGTTGTGTAACCCTTGAGTTCCCAGTTCAGCTTCTTGCTTGCTGTTTTCAACTGTTGTGCCATTAATGCTCTCAGTGTGGTGGGGTAGCTGTGCTGTGGGCTGTACTGTACATCCAGTACCTCTGCTGTGCTCAGCAGAGCAAGCACGTTGGGAACACAGGCAACCGTGGGGGTATTCTGTAGCAGCTGTGGCTAGGTGGAACAACAGCATGTACTTTTCCAGCTGCAGGGTTGAACTGCATCCCAAAGATTGGGGAATTTCATCAGAACAGGAGTATTTCAGAACAGGTTGAACTGCCGGGCTGGGTCTGCACCAGGCTGAGGTCTGTGCTTAAGAAGAGCCTGGATGCAGCATGGAGAGGGAGTGACTTCAACTGTTAGAATAAAGAACATCCAGAGAAGTTAAAGGTTGACTATCTTTGGAGGAGGAAGCAAAACCTGCCTCCTGAGGTCATCCAAGCACAATACATCCACACAAATCTTCTAAGAGAGGTTTCGTACTTGGCTGAAGCAGCACAAGTTGAGCTGGGGATCTCCAGCGCCTGGGAAATGTGAGCTGGTGTAGCTTGGAGTTAGTTGTGTGGTAGACTCAAGCAGGTTTCAGGTTCCTAGATGTGTCTTTGATATCCTGCAGAGGCTTTTGTCAGGAGCAGTAAACAAATCAGCTGCGGGTGGTTCAGAATGAAAGGCCTGGTTCTGATTCCTAGATTGGTTTTCAGACCCTTTAACTGTCTCATTTGGCCAGGCTGCAGCTTGTTGGTTGATACTTCAGAAAGTTCACATCAGTGGTGCTAGCTTAGAGCTTAGCCATCCCCTTTAACTCTGTATCCTGGATTGCAGAACAAAATGCATTGTTTTCTTCATGAGAGATGACATCTTTCAGGACAGAATGGAAGAGCCCATTCCTAACAGTTTAGTTGTTTTATCCACAAAATGTGGAGAAAAGTTATAATTTTGGTCAGTAGTTGTTGATGGAGTTTCTCTTAGTGTTTCTGTACAACATAGACCCAAGAGGAAGGACCTTCGTGCATTTGTAGTATGTTTTCTGGTAATGATTTGATTTTGAATTTTTTTTTAATAAACTTAGAAAGATGAGGAAAAGCTCGTATATGAATCTTTTGTGTGGGAAGGTCTGTGGAAAGGAGCTACATGGGTCAACCCACACCTTTTCACTGGGTTTGTGCACCATCTTCTGCATGACTTTGATGGAGCTCCTGCTCTCTGTTTTCCAGGCAGAACCCAGATGTGCAGCTGCAGTTACAACAGAGACCACCTCACCACCACAGCCCAACTTCTTCCTTGACATCCCTGGGATCTTTGACTTTGCTTCAGTCTCCACCGCCATCCAGGCTGTCCCCTTCCCAGCATCAGCAACCTCTGACTCCAAGCCAGGGAGATCCTGGAATTCTGCCACGGACCCAGCAGCCATTCTTATCAAACCAAGTCCACCAGGGGGACTTGTACCGACTATGCCAGCCCTTCCTAGGACCGCAGCAGCAGCAAGGGGATTCCTATTCAGTAATGTCCCGGGCTCAGCAGATCCCTTCCCCATATCAGCAGATGCAAGTAGATCCTTTTGCCATAGTTTCGAGGGCCCAGCAGATGGTGGAAATCCTGTCAGAAGAGAACCGGTCTCTACGACAGGAGCTGGATGGATGTTATGAGAAGGTAGCCCGGCTGCAGAAGGTGGGTGTTTTGGGATATCAGGCACTTTCCTGTGTCTCCTATTGTCCATAATTGAATCATCTAATCTGCAACTGTTACATTCCTTGCATAAGGGATTGATTACCTACTTGGGAGTCTTTTACATGCAGATTGATTAGTCTGTATCCTGTCCCCTAGGGCAGCAGCTTAACTTTGTCAGAAGATAAAATCAAAGCCCTCAGTTTTACTGTAATAGTTTACTGACCATGCTCAAAAGAGCATCCTCATCAGCTGTCTTGAAGAGGCTGACTGCTTGGCTTGTTTTGTTAAATTAAAGCTAGTGTTCTTATGCCCAGGATAGCAGCAGGCTTCATTTTCCCATCAGTCTAAAAGACTTTAGAGACTGCAGGAAGGGCTTGATTGGAATGACATGAGACCGTAGTCACTCAAGGAGGCAACAGGGGACATTGCCACAAAACTGGTTGGCAGGACTCTGTGCAAGGCAAGTACAAGGCTGCTATGGCTACGTTAAAGACATTTGGACTGTAGGACTGAAACTAACACTTCTTTTGTCGCCCTTTCAATGCCGAAGTATTTCTGTGAAACCTTAATATCTTGGTTTGGATGGACCTATTTGCTACTTTGGCTTTATGAAACAAGTAGAAAAAGTGGTGCTAAAACGTTTTAAAAGAAATATCCCAGTGAGACCCATCATTAACATGCATGTGTAGAGGTGTGTTCATTGTAGCCTCATAGAAATAACTTCCTGATGACCAGTGGTTTAAAACTGGGCAGCAGGTCAGCTTTGCTTGTGCCTTGCAGCTGTGAAGAGGCTGATGCTACTTGCAATTGAGGACTCTGTGGGTCTTGCTCTACTCTTTGCCCTGAGCAGTCTCCAGGGCCATAAAAATGAGTGGCTGCCTAAAACACTTGTGTGAGTTCAAGTGACCAGTCTGGCTTTTCACACTCATGATTCCTTATGTTACCTCTTTCCAGGGACATATGTTCATTTTGTTGTTTTGGTTTGGTTTTTTTTTGTTTTCTTGGAAGGTCTCTGGCCAGGAAATGCTTTAGAGAAATGTTTGACAGCTTCCTGGTAATGAAAGAAGGGTAAAAATGCACTTTCCTCCACCCTCCTGTTGATCACTTGCTGTGGAGTGCTGGTGGAGTTTGCTGTTACATGCATCCATGCTTCCATAGCAATGAAGCATGCCTAGTAAGGAGAGTTCGAACTGAATCTCTTTCTGCTCGTAGTGATCAGAGAAGCTTCACACGAAAGGCTTAGAAGGAAGGATAAAATATTTTACTGCAAATGTTGCCCTCCCCCCATTTAGTAAATTGACTGTTTGAAAGAACAACTAAGTTGTGGAAGTGTGAACAGAGAACATCAGGAGATTTGATTATGGCTTTTGGACCCTAACAGTTGCAGAGCTGCAGAGTTCATCAGTAACACAGGATCTGACACTAGTGTTTTTGTAGCATAGTTTTGTCTGCCTTTCTTGTTTTATTTTTCTTACTCTCTTGATACCACACTAGCTATTTATATAAATGCTTTTTGCCCAGACTAACAGTAGTGCCAAACTGCCCCTATCTTAGAAAATAATAGATTACCTTTGCACTTCTTCAGTTTGCTTTATCTGTGCTTTTGTATTGGGTAAACAGGACTAGAATCTGGAAGGAGAGTCTAGATCTTTGAACCATTGGTGTCCTTTATGCTGAAGGAGCCACCACAAACCTGAGGTTGTTGTTTTACTTGATGTGTAGATGTAGGTTTCTTCAATAAAGTAAACTTGAGAGAAAATGATCTCCTTTCAGAACCTGAATAATTGTGGGTGATAAAATAGTAAGTGCTTGTTTTCACTTCTACTGCAGCTGGAAACAGAAATTCAGCAAGTTTCAGAGGCATACAAAAACCTGGAGAAATCATCCTCTAAACGTGATGCCCTGGAAAAGGCCATGAGAAACAAACTGGAAGGAGAAATTCGTAGGCTTCATGATTTCAACAGAGACCTGAGAGGTGAATGAAGTAAAACTTGTCTTCTTCAATGTTGGGGTGTTTTTATTGTTGTACTTCCTTGGCAGGACAAGTTTCTGCTGCAGAATTCACTGTGTCTGTTAACAACTAGACTGTGACCGGATACTCAGGTATGTTCAGCAGCCTAAGATTTTAAGTGCTTGCTGCAAGTATGGAAACGACAGGTTTAGGAGGGTGCTGTAGTTTCTCATTTCCAGCCTGTCTCTCATTGAGAAGAAACACGTGATAAGCCAAGTAGTATAAACCAGATGCAAGCCTGGAATTCTCTCTTGTCTTATATCCTAGACACAATTTGTACAATTTGTTCCATTTATACAAATGGAAAGATGTTTTGCTGACTGCCTAATCCCACACCAGGCATGTTCACTTTATTTCCTGTCCAGTGACCTTTTTGCACTGACATACAAACTGCAGACTGCCTGTTCTTCCTGAAGGTCTTGTCAGTTCTTATCAGTGTAGGCATCTGTTTTTTTGGATCTCCCTTCCTTTTCCAGAGTGAGATGTTATTAGTGTCTGGTTCTTGCTAAGAGGCTGAGGCAGTATGATGGCTGACAGTAGAGAGTGATGTTGAATAGTATTTGACCTTAACATGGGTAAAAGTTTTACCATTAGCTTGACAGGTGAAAACCGTCTGCAGTTTGGGGTGTTTAAAGGGAACAATCAGATTTTTAAACTCTAAACTTATCTTTTTTGCAAGCACCTTCTGATTGTCCTGTGTGTCATCTGCTCTCACTGCCCCATGTCTCTTACTGAGACTGTGTTCCCAGAAACTGTTTTGCATCCAAGAAGTAAGGCCAGTGCTATTGAGAGGGACAGTACATGAAGGCCTGCATTATATAATCTTATTCATAATAAAACACAGCATAAACATTTTATTCTCACTTTCATAGACTGACATAAATTCCTAACAGCCTGCAGCAGCAGAGCCAGTAACCTGTCCTTAGGGTTTTCCTGTTTCACCTAAAGTCAGGTAACTGGACAACAGTGATTTAATCTTCTAACTCTTCAGATTTAGTGGGGAATTAAAAGGGAATCTTTTAATTGCACAGTGAGATTTATTTGGGTGGAAAGAATAAGGTGTCTTAATGTTTGTAAAAAATGAAAAAATAGACATTTTATGTGTTGTCACTGTTTAAAGTAATTTCTTTGCGATTTTGTTTAACCTGTTTTGTCTCATTGAGAAGATTTTCTGAAGGACATAATTGGAAACTTTTCAAAAGTGGATGCTAGCTTCTGGAATCAGGAGGTCTGTTCCCCTAATGGGGCATTGTATTGGAAATGTCCTGAGCAGATGTGACATAGTCCTTGAAAGTTTTTAATGTCTTAGTGTTCCTTCTGTTGAAAACTTCTGCAGAGCGCATGGAGACAGCCAACAAGCAGCTGGCAGAGAAGGAATTTGAGGGGTCTGAAGACAATCGGAAAACCATCTCTCAACTCTTTGCACAAAGTGAGTTATGAGTGAGTTAGTGAGTGGGGTCAGTACCAGTGCTCCAGCCATCCTGGGAGGGATAACAGTGCAGCAGGTTACGGTAGGTCAGATCTGTCAGTTTTCTACCAGGATGGAAACCAGGGCAGTGACAGTCCAAAACTGGCAGTGGAGAAAGGATTAAAAAATTCCTTTTCTGTCAGTATGTAAAGTCCATTTGATGCCCTTTTTCAGCTCTTGAAGCAACATAGTTTGCAGTTAAACTGCCAGATTAGTGTTTCCACCATAATATACAGGATAGTTTGGCCACCTATTTTGTCCCCTTCGGAATTAAACCTTTTCAGGCTGACAAGAGTCCTGGCATGAATTAAGGCCAGCGAGACTGGAACCTGGTAGGTCTCCTATCTCTTTAATTTGCCACTGTGCTATCCAGTTCTGCAAACATAAAGGGGATGAACATTGCATGCAGCATGCTGGGTTGGGTAAGGGTCATGAATTCTGTCCGCAGCAGTGGATTTATCACATGGCGAACCAAAATGACGGATGTGAAATGCTGCTTTTCCTTTGTACTGAAATGTCTTGAGGCTGACGGCGGTGAGCCAGCTTTTCTCTCATCCCATGGTGTACTCCACCCTTCTGACAATGCTCACTTTTCTCCAATTGTTATATAAAAAGTTAATGCAACAAAATTTCCAAATAGGGGTTTTCTGTGGTGTAACACACTGCTTTTACTCTGTCAAATGCTGGTATCCCTCTCGTGTTTTATTTAGCTTATTCCTTGTGGATTACATTGCAAGCAAATGGCTATCATCAGGGTGGGAATTCAAAACTCGTGGTGGTAGTGAAAAGTCTGAGTTTAGTCTCATATTCAAACTGTTTGGGTGGACTTCGTGCTTCATAGGTTCACCCAGAGAGGTGGGGAGGTCAAAGCTGTGAGGCCTCACACTCAATTGCTCCTTTTGGATGAACATGGAAGCCACAGTGCTACGTTTCCTTAGTCCCAGCATTTCTATGGGTGTTGTAGGCACCTGTCAAGTGAAGCTGTTCTCGTTTGGGGAAAAGTCTGCAATAAAACCTCCAAAAGCCTCACTGCAGGCACTTACAGATGAACAAACAGACTGCAGGCACTGACTGATACCTGCTGGCTTAATGCCACTCTGCCTCATCTCTGCCATTTTCTACAGCACATTTTAGTGTGCTGACACTGTCAACAATTCATTTTCTGGGTGGAGGAGAAATACTGGGGTAGAAGAGGTGAGGAAAAGAATAGGTAGGCAGTGACATTAGCGTTTGTCCTTGTCTCATGTCACAAGCTAGCTCCAAGTTGCAGTCAGGGTTTGGAGAGTTCTGGGTGCTGTTGGTGGACAGGTTTGTTTTGCAACCTGTGTGTGGGCTGCGTTGATTCCTTAGCAGGAGGGAATCTTTAGCTACCCCGTGTTGCTAAAGCTTTGCTCCTGGCTCTCTGCTGGCAGAAGAAAGGGAATAATTGTGGTCCTGTAAATATAGTTAATGCACATGCTTGCACAAACTCTGTATTCCATATGCAATCTGTCCTAACACCCAGGATCTAGTTCCTGTTTTTCAAGCTTTACACTCCTTATCCTCATTCCTTTGTCATGGGATTCTGGTTTCTGGAATGCAGTTTCTCTGGTGTCATCAGTGATGGGTGTAGATCACTCCAGGGAGTATTTTGTGGTTATATATCCAGCAAGGGTGTTAATGTTATCATTATAGCTGGTTGGCCTGAGCTGGGAATGACAGCATATACAGAGGACATCAGCTCTGTGTTGTGGCTTTGCTTTACACCTCTGTGTGATAATTTCTCCAGTCCTCAATTATTTTATCATTTATTTTTTTATAAAGGCAGTTTTCCTGCTCATGAAACATAGCAGAACTGCTCCCACTTGGTCCAGCTTTCTGCAGAGCAGCAGCAAAGGGCTGGCCGCTGTGCTTAGGTGCCTTTAAAGGATCAGACATGAGTTCTCAGTGCTGGGCAGAAGGCTTTCTTGAGCTGCAGGTTTGCTTTAAGCAGTGACAGAACAGATATATGTGCCTCTGGTCCAGAGTGTCGTTTTTACGTGCTGTAGAGGAAGACCGAAGACTTCTCATTTGCTCACTTGCTTTCTGTCTTCTCTGATGGTACTGACAGCAAAGTGGGACAACTGGGTGTTACTTTGAGGAGGAGGAGAGCTACCCCAGGCAGAACAGCTTTCATGTTTGTGGGGTCAGTGTGAAAGAAAGGAGCACAAGTTTTTCAGGCACAGAAGTCTGCTGTCTCTTCTCTAATCTCTCTGGAATTAAAACCACCAAGTTTGTTTGCTGCTGCTGAAAGCTTGTACCTAAAGAGGTGCCAAGTGTCACTAACCATCTGTGTAATCAGAGCAAATTACCTAACTGTACTGAGTGATGCATCTTCTAATCCTTCTCACTAGTACTTGAAGGTACCATGCTTGTTTTTCAGGGTTACAAATCTTCCTCTTCCTTGAAAGCCATGTCCCTGTTTTTTTCCCCACTTAGTACTAGATTTGCATTCTCTCTCTTGTAAGAAGTTCCAGAAGAATCTTTCCTTCACCTCTGGAGTGAAAGACTCCTGAAAACTGGGTAAAGACAAGTGCTAAGTGATTCTCACTTTGTTTTCATAGACAAGGAAACACAGAGGGAAAAAGAGAAACTGGAAATAGAACTGGCTGCTGCACGCTCCACCAACGAGGACCAACGCAGACACATTGAGATCCGAGACCAAGCCTTGAACAATGCTCAGGCCAAGGTGGTGAAACTGGAGGAAGAGGTAAGGGTGCTGGGAAAGAGAAATTAGGCTAGCTTGGGTTCCAATTTGCTTGCTTCAAAACTGTTTGTATGGCTTAGCGTTGTGTTGGTTAGCTAAGCCACTGAGCTGTGCACAGATAAGCCACAAATCTCTATTTCCTTGGAAGTGCTTTCGTCTAAGCAGGCATGTTTTGTTTTCTTTTTGTTTCAACTGATAAAAGTGGGCTGGAACTGAAATCCCAGCCCTGGCAACCTCCGAACTTGGCAGACATTCAGATCTGGATGGACTTCTAAATAATACCAAATGAATGCAGCTTGTCCCCTTGCCAGGTGTTCCACTTACACCAGGTTATCGTGGAGCACAGTGCAGATCACCGTCTGTGCCCAGCATTCGTAATAAGCTGGGCACGACCTTGGCTATTTTCTCTCCCTTTCCTCCCAAGAGGTGAGAATGCATCTGAGCTGCCTAGTGAGGCAGCTTTCGCAGCAGTTTCTTTTGTAGCCATTCACACATGGCTCTCACCTCGCTGCCCTTCTGTGTCACAGTGTCTGTCCTCTTTCCTCCCGCCTACTCCTTTCCTCTCAAAGGCTCCATTTCCCTCTCCCAGACTCTGCTTCCTTTACTCCTACTCTTCCTCCGTAGTGAGCCTCTGGAGGAAATCTCATGACCAAGCACACTTCCTCCATTGCAGATTTCTTCTCTCCTCTAATTCTGCCATCTTTCTGCCTACTAGCACTCACTGTCACCCTCACTGTGCCTCTGTCCATCTGCATCTTGCTGGCTTCATCACCAGGCTGTGGTCCATCACTGAGGAACCAGGTTCTGTGCAATACAAATGATAAAAGTAAAAGAGCAGTAAGAGGAATGCTTCAGTGTCAGTGGGCACATTCAGCCTTGCACACGGTTGACAAGTCCATTGATTTCACCAAAATTGCAGCATCACCTGGCAAGGCTGACTGGCACCTTTGTTGCTCAGGGGGATAGGGAGCATTAGGTTATAGGCTAATTTAAATGTGACATGATTCTGTTTGGCTCTAGAACCATTCTGTCACTTGGTCATTGACGTATGGGATCTGTTTGGCTTTCCTTCAGATTTCAGCAGCTTATTGCACTAAAAGTCTGATGTGTAGCTAACTTTAATTACACGGAATATCCATATGGCTTCCTTGGAACTATTCACGTGCATGGAATCAACATGCATATTGTGCTGTGTTCAGCCAGGGCCAGCACACGCAGCACTTGGCTAGGCTGAACCTCTTTGTAGGTACTACTGTTGGCTCCCTCAAAGTAAGTTGAAGCCTTTAGGGGTAACAGTAATTGTATGTTTTCTTTTCAAACATCTCTTGTTTTACTAGAATTGGGTTCAGTGCTGCTGCAAAATATTTCTGCCTAGCCTAGGTAGAGTAGTAAAATCGGAAAGTAACTGGGGGGCTGAGCTGCATGATAGCTTAAAACCCACGCACATGCTGATAGGGAGTGAAATGCCCTGCATGAGGGCTTGTGGTCATTTGCATTCAACCTTTGCTCGAATCCCAGGGTGTGCAGGAAGTGCCACCCTTCCTGTTGTAGATAAATATGGAAGCGTCTCAGTGAGGGAGCAGGAGTTAACTCTGCTTTTTCCTAGAGGTGAGACAGTTTAAAGGGAAACTGAAGAGGTAAAGAGTCACTTTTGCAGGTTTCCCAAATCACTTTTTAATGAAATGCTTAGGATTATAAAGCATTTTTTTTTTTTTACCTCATTAGTATTAAATTGTGGGAACTTCTCAAATCCCCAAGCTGTTTGTTAACATGCTTTCCAAAAGACAGCCCAGCAAGCTGTTCTGTGCTCAGGGCACTGTTCAGAAGGGACTGTAAAATGTAAGCCTGGGTTAGTGACATTCAGTGACCAAGATACGTGAACCATTTGTCCATTTTTCATGTTATTCCTGCCAGCTCAATCTGAGTAACCAGTCCCTGTAATTGTCAGGAATTACCAAAGTAGTCCTGCAGAGGAGGGTGGAGTTTCTTACGCTAAGGTTTGGCAGCCACTCTGGCTCAGGGCCCAAGGGGGTTGCATATTTCAGTTGCTGCATCCTGTAATGTAAGTTTTCAGCTGGGGTTTTTTCCTCTTCCGTTCCGACTTCTTATTAAGCAGAGTTATGCTGCCTTGTATGCACCAGATCCTTTATAAAAAGAGTATTTCCATTCTAATGGGAGCTATAAGCCATTAGAGTAGTTTAATTTATCACTATATCACTATAGCTGAATTTAAATGTTGCATTGGAATTGGGACTTCCAGACTCTTTTTTCAAGACCTTTCCCTGAATTTCCAGTATGGACAAAACAACCCATTTAGAAAATGTAGGTATTTGTCTACTCCTATGCAGCTTTGAGAGCTTTTATGTATGTTGGATTAGAGCTTTCATATATATTGGGTTTTAGCATCCAAGTTAGAGGGAACAAAGAGATAAAGGGATGCTAAATGGGATGGAGAAAGGAATCATCTTGGAGATACCAGAGTATAGTGTGAAGCAGTTGGAAGCAAAAGTAGATATTCATAGAATACTTGGCCTGGTTTGTTAGCAGGGGTGAAGTGACTCTTCAAATTTAGAACAAGCTGACATTAAAGTGTTTAATAGTGCTAAAAAGGATGAGTGATCATATTTTAAACAAACTTAAATATGTCTATGAACAGCCTTGCTAAGTACGTATATGTTTTATATGTAGTAATTAAACTCTGCTGCTTCTCTACTCTGTGTAGATACCCGGTTATTAACCCCTATTTTCACTGCTCCATTTTCATTCTTCCCTTTAGTAGATGTTCCACAGTTATGCATATCAGCAGCTTGTTGAAATTATTCCTAGTGAAGTATTAATCTGTGTTTTTTAAGGTCAAAGCTTCAGATAGTTTTCATTACATGCGACAAATTTCAGATAAATTGAGTAGATTTGAGGTAAAATGCATGTTGGCTTAAAACCGTGTCTCACAGTCAGAAGTGGTCAGTGGTATTGATACTTGCAGCTAAAGCAATGGAAAGTTCTCATTTTGGAGCATGGATTGCCATGATGGTCTCAGTTTTGATACAGAAGTTTGAATGGCTGCAGTGTGCAGCAGTTTGTAGCTGGTGGATGGTCACAGGTGGGCCAGTGTCATGTGTGAACTTTTGAAACTGTCACATCACCATGATTTAACAACATGTGCTGGCATGCACATTGAGAGCCTGCAGCAGGCAGAACAGATGGTTAAATTTCTCCTTGCTCTGGTCCAGAGACAGAATTACTGGGTTGCAGCAAGGCCCATCCTAACCAAGTAGAGACTCTGGGTGAACACTGGCTTATTGCAGGTCCCTTACCAGGCTTGTAATATTGGAGGAGGGAGTTTGATGCCAAATACTTTAGCCACAACTGCTGGATGCAGAGGGTGCAATTGCTACTGTTTTTACACTTGACAAAGGGAAAAAAAAAAAAAAAGGAATATCCAGAGCTTTTCTTGAACTTGGCCATTTCTGCTTACCCTGGTTAATTCATACCATGGAAGACCAAACTTCAACTTAAAAAAGTTAGTGGTTTTTCCTTATAGCAGTGTAACTTGCACTCCTTTGCTGCACCACTTTACAAGCCACTGTTTTAATGAGTGCCTTAAAGAGACAGCTTTGAAAAATAGTGACTACCACTAAGAAGTTATAAATATCTCCTCCTTGCCATCCTCATGCACACATCCTTTCTAATGGGTGCAAATTGGGGGCTGAGGGAAGGGAAGAGGTTTGAATGAAACAAGTGGCTTGTATTTAGAAGCCCTAAGATCTTTCAGCCATCAGAATTCAAAATAAACCAGGTATCAGAGCTAAGTCACTGTATTCATTTCCACTCAGCTATTGTGCAGAGCAATACCACACTATTTCTGATAACACTGAGGGTTCTGTCTATGGGGAAATATAGAAATGTTCATTTCCAAATGACATCTATTGTAGTTTATATGCTGTGTCTAAAATACTTTCACAACAGAGCTCTGGCTTGTGGGGAAGAGACCCAAAGGAGAGTTTGTGTGATTGAAGCTTGTCTGGTTTCTTCCAGTTGTTTGTCTGGATCTGTAAAAAGATGTTTCCACTCTCCACAGCTTTGTCTCACTTAAATGTCTTAGACTCTCAGTGCTACATAACTCCTTTTAGGACAGAATTGCTTCTGAAGGGGATGCTTTTGGGATGGCTTATTGTTCATGGATGGATAGGATGCAAGGTTCCCTGTAACTAGTGTGTGTGTATCTTTAATGACCTATGTAGCAACACAGAACTGGATTTTTATTGCCATGTCGCTACCTCTTAAATGCTGCTTGTTAGTAATTTTCCAGAGGTGGCTTTGGGAATCATAACTTATTTTAACACAAACAATTGGAAAGATGACATTATAACATTCCCATGCAACAAACAGTATTCCCTAGCAAGAGGATAGTGTTATCAGATTGCTTCAGCATGAGTTCTTGCTGAGGCCAGTGGCGCCTTATTGGGCTCGAATTCAAATGCACTGAGGGTTCAAAGGCATCCTAGAGGAATATATTCCAACTGCAAGAGGTGGTTTAGATGTGCTTGCTGCCTCTTTTTTTTACTACATTTCTGCCATAGCAGGCAAATTCTTGTGGGGAAACACATTTTCAGCTGCATCTGAATGGATTCAGCTTTAGGATAAACCCAGAACATAATGAAAACACCGTGAACATATTAAACAAAGGACTTTGAAGACATCAGAAATAGTGGGTGGGAGAGAAGCAGATGCTGACAAGTGTTACCAATTTGCTCAAATGGGAGCTGTCCAAGATGAAGAGGGTAATGGCTGGGTTTGTCAAAATGCCTGGGAGAGTTTGTGAATCATTGCTAGCTATGCAGGAAGTCTTCTTCCCCAGAAAGCTCTTTGCTGAGTAACGCATCTGGAAGCAATGAATCTCTTTTAAAAGATCTTCCTTCCCCCTCACTTACTATGTCCAGGACTGCTTTTGTCCTGCAGGGACAGCACCAGTGCAAAGGATGTTTCAGGCTTTCCCTTGTTTCTAGCACCTTGACAGTGAAAACTCCTCATTCCTGTATGCCTCTGCTCCCTGTGCTGTGTGAAACCTCTGTGCCCTCTTCAGAGCCTTTCTTCTTGCGAGGACCCAGGATTACTGAAGGAGATTGCAGGGTTTGTCAAAGCCAAATGAAGGAACAGGATTTGTTTGGCTTTTAGAATGCTAACTCTAATGGCGAGTGACACAGAGCCCGGTGAGCAGGGCACAGCGCGGCAGTTGGCACCAGCAGTTGATGCAGGCTGTTGGTGCAGGCAGGGCAAGCGGGGTGGCGAGCACAATGGTGAGCACTCACCTCAGGGCCTGGTGTGGGAGCTCTGCTCCGGCTGCCCCAGCAGTGGCCAGCGTTGGCACCAGACAGAGCTGATGAGAGGGGAGGCTGCAGTGCAGAGCTCGGGCTGCAGAGAGTGCCTGCACTGGTCTTGTGAGGTGAGGGTGCACAATGGGCAGGGTGCACTCGGTGGGCCCTGGTGGAGGTCCTCCTGCAGCAGGGGCTGAGCTGTGGGATGGGATGCTATCAGTAGGCTAAGAGATACCAGGGAAGCTGAGAGGGAGCTGGAGTGCTTGCTCCAGGCCCAAACTGTGCAGGGACCACAAGTGTCCACTTTAGCGCATACCAAAAAGGAGGAGGGCTTTAATCCAGGAAGCTGGGAGCTAGTAATAAAGCCACAAAAAAAAAGGAGGAAGAGGACAATTAAAAGCAAGGGACTTCTTCCAGAATCTGACTTCCCCACCCAGAACTGCTTCACAGCTCTGCAGGGAGCTATTGAGCAAATGTACTTGATCAGGAGGCTAGGGAATCTTTCAGGGGTATTCCCTGCATCAGTTCACCCTTTGTGTACTAGATTTCTGCAGAGTCCCAAGCCAGGCCTTGCCTTCTCTCTTTTTCTTGTCCTCCTTTTGCAGAATTCATGTATCATAGCAGTGGATGTGAACTGGAGCATGGCTGCTCTTGCTTGCGATGGTTTAATTAGAAAGTTGTGTTGATAGAGTTAAAGCCTGACTTCTGATACGTGATTAGGGTATTTTCCAAAGTAGTCAGGGATTGACATGGATGAGATATGCACATGATTAAAGTTGTGCCATGTGCCATAGGAAATGCTGGGAAGGGATACAGTCATGCTGAAGTTCTCTGCTGTGCTTCCAGACATGCACTGAGGTCATTTGAGCTCTTACCCTCTTAAAGAGGTGTTATAATAAAGGTATTATTATGAGTAAAATCCTCTGCATTTTCAGAGCACCCTTCAAGGCAAAACAGTTACATTATGTGAGCATGAGCTTGCATCTTACTTAAATGCAGTACTGTCAAAAAGAAAATTACTGTCTTGTCAAATGTATTTCAAATTACATACTGAAGGGCATGACAGCATCCTTGTAAAGCTTCAGGAATGAACTCTTATCTAGAGCATGTGTCCACTGCCAGGCCTGTTGCAGAAGAGAGAATTCCAGTGTCCTTTGATGCCGTCTCACCCATGGTGGATGTTCCTGTGGCCCTTGGCACTGAGGAGTCAGTTTTGCTTCTTTGCTGGAAGAGAGAGGGTGGGGAATCCATGGCCAATGACCAAGAACAAGCCTCAGCATGCTGCTTTTTTTTCTTCCTCCCATCTCATTTATGTCTACAGCACCCTGGAAATACTCAGGAAACTGTTTCCAATTCCTGTTTTAGGAAAACACAGTCATACTCTCAACTTATGCTAATGAAATCCCTCTGTGCTTGGAAGACTTATTCCTGATCCTCTTTACATTGAGAGGACAGATCAAGTCAGATGGATTTGGGAAAAACCAAATAAAATTAGGTTTCACTGCTTCCACTCCTGGAGAATCCTGGTTCACAGAGAGGTAAATTGCTCCTCACACATAAGAGTGTGTGCAGAGGTGGCAGAGCTGGAAATGAGTGGAATTGCCAGAATATGCAGTGAGTTGACTTGAGTGCAGCAAATGCATGAAATGAAACAATCTCATATATAAAGGCTAATTGTGTCAAAAGACACTTTGGGAAAGCTAGGGTGTCTGGAGCACATACATGCCTTTATAGTTTACTAAACATCTGTGTTCCAAAAACCTGAATATTATTTGAGGGATTCCTGAATTAATTCTCGTTTTAAGCCATAAAAAATATACACAACCCCCAAATTTTCTAACATTCCTAATTCTCCCTGAGCTGGAAGATGAAGTGTATTTTGTGAAGGAGGAAAAAATGTTGTCTTTATGAAAAGCCACAGAACAAGCCATGCCTGTACTTAGGTCTGGTGCATGAGTTAGGCATGTGCAGGCAGTGCTGGTAAGTTGGGCAACAGCTTGTGTTGCAACGTTTCACCTGCAGGTTTGGCTGATGGGAGCACTTTCAAAGTGAATGTTTCAGTGGAATTTCTGTGTCCTACTTCTTTCTTGGCTGGGCTCTTGGTATTCTTTGAATGCAGGCCAACACGTTAATCCTCACTTAGGCACACTCAGGTTTATTAATTATGAAACTAGGAAAATGTTGTCGGCGGCTACTTTGGCAAGGAGAATTTCACCTGTGTGTTAAAAAACTGTTCAGAAATGTCAACACTTTGGGGCAGGTTAGAAGAGCTCAACTATCTGCCTGTCCTTCCTGAGGAGTGCGGAGGAGAGCTGATTTTCCAGAGATTATCATCCATCTCCATGCAGGATATTTCACTGCTAGTGAGTTCATGAGGTTGTTCCTTACTCTTGTCCAGCTCACTAAGCTCATATGCGAAGCCGAGATACTGGGTGCTCTGTATTTCTAGGTTGTGCTGCTGACTCATGGTTTATCATTTTTGGCTAGTTACAGAACTACTTTGAGCTGCTGTTAATCTAAATGTAAAACTATAGTGCATTAATTCACGCTTTATTGGAGTCTGAGAAAGCTTAAATCAGTGTTTTTAAGCACTGTGGTGTGGAATTAAAAAGATAAGTATAACATTTTTATTGATTTCCTGCAGAACAGCAATGGAATATTAAGTTGTATTAAAATCTTCTTGTCCCTCCCATTCCAAACAAGCTTGAAATCTTGAGCAATCAAAGAATAAAAATACCTTTCTAGTGTACATGCACTGGTGGGAAGGCCTTTGGCTGGATTACTCACTACTTATTGTAACTTTTATTATAAAATATCAGTTTGGGGAAGATCCTGTAGGGCAGCAGCATTCATGCTGTGAGATTAGATGCCTGCTGACTTCATGAAGAGAAGAAAAGGATACCATGTCTGGCATTAATAGTTCGGAGGTTTTTGTGTCTGTGCTGTTCACATTGCAGTCTCTGGATTGTCTTAAGGAACAGGAGTGTGAAAAGGGAACATTTGGAAGAAACACGTGATAAGACCTTTTTGGGATGAAGGTGTGATATAAGAACAGCTCCTGTAGTTCAGATCAAAGCCCAGCCAGCCCAGTATCCTGTCTCCACCAAAACTTAGAGCAGATTCCTAGGGAACACTGTCATAATGAAGCCAACAGACAGCAGTACTTTCCCAGAATACTTCCTGCTTCCAAGAAGGACTTCCTGAGCCAAAAGTGGTGTCTTTTGTCTTTAATATCCCTTAGTGGACTTTTCTTCCATGAAGCTGTTAGAGTAGCAATTTGAACTCACATAAGGGAGTCTGTGTTTTGCATTGTGGTGCTGCTCTAGACTTTGGCTCTGACTGTTGGGAAAAGTTGCCTTCTTCCTGCTATTTTTGGGTTTTGGGGGTTATGACAATCATACCTAAAAAAGCAGTGACCCCAGTTTGCCACAGAAGGCCAGCTCATTGTGATTGTTAGTCTTTTCCCTAACAGAAAATTATGTCCATAAGTGTGCAGTATCCTATATATTAGATTAGAGCTGGGCCCTGCGTGTGTATTATTATAATTATTGATGTAGTTATTATTATTATTAGTTTGGTTTAATTCTGCCTGAACTGTGGATTAACTGTGTGAAGACAGTTGTTGGCAGCCTCAGCATGGTGGCTTTTATTGCTTACTTTGAGGCAGAATAACTGCTTGGTTTGCAGGATGAATGATGGAGGAAGATGGAAGGGCAGGAGCAAGGAACGAAACAGGACCATGTCTTACTGGGCTAAGGTTAATGTCCAGATAGCTAGAATAAACCTGGCTGCAGCGTGGAAGGATCATAGGCCATGTCTAGTGTGTGCTTTGATCCTATTCATTATCTTATAGGACTGGAACAGGGTGCTGCAAGGTTGGATTCAGTTTCTGCTTAATCTCGTAAAAACACTGCTGGCATTTTCCAGTACTGCACTGAAAAGTGTCCCCAACTTGTGGGCCAGCTCTGAATGGTGCCTTTGCTACTTCAGTAACATCTGTCAAGTCATGAAACACTCTGTTATGAACCCAGATGCCCTTTCTTAGCCCATCAATGCTCTCAACCATGTGCAACAGATAATTACCTCAGTTTCCCCATCATTACCATGAGGTCACTGAGGACAAAAAGAACACCTAAAAGTAAAGGAGCAGTGGTGAAGACCTGTAACATCCTGAGTGTGGAGTCCAGAACAGGAGTTTGAGGCACACTGACAGCAGTTGTCTGGAAATGGTTCTTCCTGGCTGGTGCTTTTGTGCTGGGCTATGTGCACAGAGCCAGAGCTTCACTCACTTGTTCTTATTATTTAACTGACATTGGATTTTCTTCCTTTGTTTCAGCTCAAAAAGAAGCAGGTCTATGTTGAGAAGGTAGAGAAGATGCAGCAGGCCTTGGTTCAGCTGCAGGCAGCGTGTGAGAAACGGGAACAGCTGGAACACAGGCTGCGGACCCGACTGGAGAGAGAACTGGAATCTCTCCGGATGCAGCAGGTACCTGCTGTTGCCCTGTGCCACACTAGGTTTCTTGTAGGATTGTACACGACACCCTACACCGCACATAAAAGGGCAGTGGTTTCTTCTATCTTGTAATTGGTAGCTAAAATCATGGGTTTGCTGGTTGTTGTATTGCTTTACCTTGACTTAATTTTTCTATTCCAACCAGAAAAGTTAGGTAAAAGAGCAAAGGGGATCCATCACAGCCATTTAACTGAGATGGTGTTCTATTTTTAAGTAACCTGGTTATATTTGCTTTTAAATGATTGAAAAGATTTTGTTCACACTTTGAGATTGTATATAAAATTAATTAACTGGTCTGAAAAGAGGCCCTTCAAAAAGCTTTTGCATTTAAAAAACCCAAAGAAACCCAAACAGCAAAACCTATTCTGTAAATGCAGTTGATGGAAAAAGATGGGGAGCTTCACTTAGAGCTGTGAGTTAAGCTGCCTTTCTTGGGAGCAGTGCTTGATGTTTTATGACATTTGAGTTTCAATATATGAAAAATAGAAGGAGCCTTTCTTGCATTATATGAGCTTGTTGCCTGGCTTTGACAGAGTAAGGCTGAACTATCCCTGCAGATGTTTCAGATTAAGCTCTAAGGGAGATGATTACCATCAGCTGGTTTGCCCAGTATGGCATAGGCCACTGCATTTCACTCTGGGGGGTTCTTGCCCCAAGCCAGTGGTGCTCTGGACCAGCCTCTGTCCTTCAGACAAAAAGCAAACAAACCAGCCCTGAGCCTCACAGATGCGTCTTGACACCGCTTTTTCCTTTTCCTTGCTTTTGGAAATCAGCGTCAGGGTACATCTCAGACTGCCAACGTCTCAGAGTACAATGCCACGGCGCTTATGGAGCTCCTGCGTGAGAAGGAGGAAAGGATTCTTGCTCTGGAAGCTGACATGACCAAGTGGGAACAGAAGTACCTGGAGGAGAGTGTGATGAGACAGTTTGCTTTGGATGCAGCTGCAACTGTGGCTGCGCAGAGGTAAATAGGGCTTTTCATAGGACTGGGATTATTTTCTTTTTCCAGTTGAATGTCATATTTCCCACCAAGGAATGTTGTCATACCACCCTCCCATGATACCTCGCCTTGTGGTCTGAGCTGCTTCTCAGACTTCTGCATGCAAGTGAAGCTTGGCTGCTTTTCCTGGGAGCTGTGCAATTGCCAACAATTAGAGACTTCTTTTTTTCCAGGGGAAGATTCCTCCGCACGCAGGAGCCATTTTCCAGACTAGAATTGTTCTGAGCCATTCCTAGAAGCTGTTGTTTCAAAAATAGGTGTATGAGAAGGGGGTTGTTTGTTTGGGGGAGTTTTTAAACAAGAATCAGTCCTTGCTGAAGTCATGTGAGCTGGGGTAAGCTTGGTGATTCATAGAACTCACCCTGAATGCCTGACTTGTTCTCCAGCATGTTTTTGCAAATTACTTTGTGGTATTGTCCTCAACATGGTTATAACCAGAAACATCTACTAGGAAATTCTGCTCCAGACATTCTGCAGTGTATGGAGAGCACTGCTTGTGGGGGTGGAAGGGTGTCTGAAATCTGGTAACAAGCTCACATTCCAAGACAACTGAACAGAAATGCTTACTATGGCTGTAAATAGGCCCAAGTGCTTCAGCTAGTTGATAAACAAGAGCTGTTACTGGAGCATGACTCTTTAGCATTAGATATTGCTTGCATATAATTTCAGGCCTCACTAGTTTCTGGTTCTTGATGGCAGATTTTGTTTTAGATTGTTTATGAACCTGATTGGAATAGGGATGTTATCACAACTGGCTGCCTTGTAAGATCATACTAGAATACAGGGGTAAAGATGCAGATCTGCTGTATTAGCGTTTAAAGAATTACCTTATCTTGCTCCAGCAGCAGGCTGTTATTTTAGGGTATTGATGCTGCTTGTGCAGTTTTCCACCTCTCCAGAGATTCTCTAAGGGCTCTTGCAACTGCTACTGCTTGTCCTTAGAGGACATGTCATATTTTCAGCGTGTGCTGATAACTAGGGGTCTGGTCTATTGTTTATCATGGAATGAGAGGGGATGTGTTAGGCCTGTTGAGGTTTTGTTAAATGAACAGTCAGGAAAGAACCAGCCTCTGGTTTTAGGTATTCTTCTAGCTGTTTCTCTTCCAAAGGAGAGTATTCCGTTAGTGTCAGTACTTCTGCACCTTTATGTTTTGGTTAGTGGACTGAGCAGCTATCACAGTGTTAACACCAGGCACTATATGGAATCAGTCTAAAACTGTTTTCAACCCACTCCCAAGTTTTTTGGAACAAACTGCTTAGGGTTGCTTAAGAAACTTCCATGCATAGTTCCCTTGGTACTCAGATTCCCTGTGTGATACTGTTGGAATGGGAAGGGAAAAAGCTTTATACCTGAAGCAAAGTTTGTGCTGTTTCAAGTGAAGAAATGTGCTTAGTGTTCTATGCCATGCTTCGTCCTCCCCGTGTCCTTGGAATTGCCTCATTGATGGGATTACAATAGCTCAGTGAATCAGTTAGATTATGGACTGGCCTGAGATCGATGGCAGATTGACTATTGCTGCAATTACTTGCATATTTTTGTAATCCTTTTTTCATTAGGACTGAAAGTGGGATTTTTGGAAGACACTGAGCCACTCAAAAAAGTGAATATTATTGCTTGTTACTTTTGAGCAATAATTTTGTACTGCTAGGAGGAAAACAGCAAACTTAACTGCGTTTTCTTCTGCTCTACTGCTTGTTCTCAGGGACACGACAGTGATCAGCCACTCACCTAACCCTAGCTATGACACCTCGCTGGAAGCTCGCATTCAGAAGGAGGAGGAAGAGATCCTGCTTGCCAACAGGAGGTGTCTCGACATGGAGGGAAGGTAAAATGCAGTCTGGTCCTATCTGGCTTCTTTAGGACAGGGATTTTAAATTAATTGTCTGGCTAGACGCCTCAGAACCAGAAATTCTTGTGTCTTCACCAGTAGCAATGATGTAGGATGCCAGATGCTCCTTTGGCCAACGAATTATCTATGTGGCCATCCAAAACCTGTCTTGATACTGAGGACTAATGCAAAAAAGTCTTGTTTTAGGTTTTCTGCATTTAGCTTGTTGCTCTTCTCTCTTCAGGGCATCTTCATCAGGCTCCAGCCACATTTTGACAGCCTCATAGAACTGTTTTCCCTGGGGTTAGGTCCAGTGCAGACTCCTCAAAGTGTGTTAAGCTTCTTTGCATTGGTCTCATGTCCTGTCCATAACATTCAGCTTTGTCTCAAAGCCCCTTGCATGGATGGTTCTTTAGAGCAGCTTCCAGTAGCCAAAGGTGGGAGGGTATCTCAGTGCTGTTCACTCATGCATGTGTACAGGAAGTCTCATGCATGATCTCCTCTGGTGGGCCAGTGAGCAGCCAGTATTCAGAGCAACAAGTTCACTGGCATCCTCTCTCTGCCTCCCAAAATGCCTGAGGAAGTCCCAGTCACAGCCATGGGGGCACTGAGGCCTCAAAGGAGACAGGAGTACAGGTACATTGTTTTTCTTTGCACTTCTCCAAAGGATTAAGACTCTGCATGCTCAGATCATTGAGAAGGATGCCATGATCAAAGTTCTGCAGCAGCGCTCCCGGAAGGAGCCAGGAAAGACAGATCAGCTCTCCTCAATGAGACCTGCCAAGTCACTGATGTCCATTTCGAATGCTGGCTCTGGCTTGCTGTCCCACTCCTCAACACTGAGCAGCACTCCAATCCTGGAGGAGAAGAGAGAGGACAAGAGCTGGAAAGGCAGCCTAGGTAAGTTTTAGATAACAGTGGCAATTCAGATATGCAAGTCACTGCTTAGAGGGGAGGCAGGAGCAACAGAAGGAAGAAGGTGTATTGGACAGACAGATCAGCATGCCATAAAGCTGACTGCAAGCAAGATGGAACACTTTTATCACGACTGGCTGTTTTAATTGCTTTTGGGAAATACGATTTCTGATGTCCAGGCTCTGTCATTCCAGGCTCTGTCATGTCCAGGCTCTGTCATTCAACTATTCAACAAAAAACTATTCAACAAAAGCCTTTATTCCTAATTTGATACCTGACTTTAGGGATATTTGAGTTACAATTTTCAGAGGTCCCAAGTGCTTGCTTTCATCTGGGTTGTTACAGCTATCTGAATATGTAAAGTCTCCTTGAATAGGAGCAAACATACTAATCAGGATTGCTGTCCTGTACTGTACTAACCTGGCTCCTGTCTGGAATGGCTCAACACCATTATTCAGAGAAACTGAGCAGTTACAAAGCAAATCTTGGATGATTTCTTTTGTTCTGAGGGGGAGTTAGACCCACAAGCCATCCCTATAAGACCCTGAAATGTAAACAAGAATCTGTTGCAGCTGATTTCATTGTGCAGATTTACCCTGCCATAGATGGGCCACTGCTTGGAGACAGGGAAGTAAGGAGTTCGTGCAAGCTTGTGTATCTTCCCATGCAGGATGGATGAGGATACTGCTATCCTTCATGTACTTCAGCACCCAGTGATGAAAGGTGCTCTAGAAAGATAAATGCTGTCTGCTGAAGCACAGAGCACTTTCCAGACCCTAGAACGAGTACTAAGAGTAGTGCAGAACTGATACCAGTTAGTTTTCTGGAATTGTGACATTTTCTTCCCTTTTTCCACAAAGGTGTTCTGCTGGGAACAGAATATCGCTCCGAATCCATTCCCTCCACCCCCTCTCCCGTCCTTCCTTCCACACCATTGCTGTCAGCCCACTCAAAAACAGGCAGCAGAGACTGCAGCACCCAGACTGACCGGGGCAACGAACAAAGCAAAGCTGCACCTTCCACTGCAGCCCCCACACCAGGACGACTCCCCAGTACCAACCTGGCCTACAGCGCAGAGAAAACAGGTAACAAAGCTCAGCTGCTCTCCCAGAGGGGTCCCTGCCACTGGCTTACCATCAGGTCTGCCCAGTGGCACAGGCTCTGCCATACCTTCTTCCATTCAGGAACACTGGGTTTAGTTTTTGTGAGGACAGAAGGGTTTCAGAGGCAAGTGTGACAATGTTCTGAGGAGTCTCAGCTGCTCTGAAGGGAGAAAAAAAAGCCTGAAGTGGTAGCATAAGCATGGACACACTGAGTGGAAAGGTATAGCAAGGTTTAAGAACTGGAACAGGTATATGCAAATCCCAGGGTAGTCTCTGAGTCATTGTCTACTCTGAAGTAAATTGTGAGTAGCATGAGGGGTTTAAACAGTGTATGAAAATGGGCTGTAGAAACTGGCCATTGCATTTCAGTGGGTATTCAAAGCAAAGTGGACTCAGATAAAGGGGAGGAAAGGTAATTATTGTGACAAAACTGTCTCATAATTGTACTGTCCCAGTCTCAGGGCCGACCTCAGCATTGGCCCAAGTAGATCCACTTGACAGTGACTGTCACATAAACTGAATTTGCTTCCCACAGAGCTCTGAGCTGGCAAGAGCTGCTCATTTTCCAGCCCACTCTGCCAAATCAATGCAGATTACACAACCTTGCCTCTTCTAGTTACAGACACGTTACAATTATGTTGTTCTTTATGGAAGAGTGAATTTGGCTGGTCTGCTGTGCATTTTGCCCATGCTGAGCTATTTAATGGGTATCAGGCGAGACAGGGGAACAGTTTTTTGTGGTGAAAGTCTATGCTGATGACATTAGTTTAAATGTAGTCACTCCAGTTTCACGTGCCATTGTGTATCAGTGGGAGATACCCAAAGGGAATTTGATAAAGTATCTTTATCTGGCTACATGCATGAAGAATTGAAGAATTGTTTTAAAATGAAATAAGGAGTTGTCAGCTATCTTTTGGCCAGTGATAGAAGATGACTTTTAACATGTTAATGTCATTATTTCTGATCTCATTGAAGTTACAGCTTTGATTGTCTATCTCTTTTTTTTCCTCATCACGTAGATGGGCCAATCTTCCACTCCAGCACCCTTGAAAGAAAAGCCCCTGTTCAGAGCATGGGGCAGGACCTCCCAGATGGAGAGATGGTAGAATACCTCATCTGAAAGGCTGTACCAGGGTCTGAACTGGGGTACAGTAGCAAGATATTCTTAAAAGACATTTTTATTGGGAAAAAATGTAGTACCTGAGTAATAAAAGAACACTCAGCTGTTTGCTCTTGTATATTATGTCTCAAAAGTATGGACAGGTTAATTTATAATTTGTTCTAAATTATAAAAAACCCGTAACACTTGTTCTTTGGAAGTTTCCCTGTTATTGTTTAAATACTGTATCGTGTAACATCTGGAGAAAAAAAAAACAAGAACTTGGGAGCACTACATCAGATATTTCATTTCAGTGTTTGAAGTCTCTTAAACAGAAGTACCTCCTCTCACAGCTGTTGGTTAAATATCTGAATTGATCACAGCAAGGTGAGCATGATGCCCTTCTCATGGGCAGAACCAGGGACTGGGTCATGAGCATCACTTTGTGGTTTTAGAATACAGGTGTTCTGAGAAACTTACAAACATGAGCTGTGATCAAGGGAGATTTCTCTTTACACTCAGTGTAAGAACTCAGAATAGGTATTTCACACCCATAGGCTGGACAGTTTTGCATTTTCTTTTTTTACTTCCCAAACTGTGCTATTCCTTTACTAAAAGAAGACTCTGGTGATTAATGTTGCATTTCACAGGTTTAGATTCATTGAAAGATTTGCCACTTTTTTCTACTGAAGTACTTTTTCAGTAATTTATACAGTGGATAGTAAATAAGATCTTGCATTCAGGTTTTACATACATTAAAAAAGGAGAGTTTACAGGCTCAGTCCTGATCTGTTGAATCAGATTTCTGCTATTATAATTTCATTGGCTTTAGTGGAACTACTCCAAATTTACTGTAGTGCAAGTGGCAAGCCCTGTTGCTTTTCAGTGTTAGCAACTTAGTCTGCTGCATCTGTGGAGATCTTTCTCCGTAGCAGATTTTTCTGTGTTTCAGACGTCCTTTTTATGTCCCTCCTTCTTGAAGAGAGCAAATTCTTTTTCACATAGCAAAACTTCAGAGGGAGAGCTTTAGAGAGAAGCTCTGTGTAAAGTTTCAGATGGCAAATTTTCTCCTTCCAAAATACTTTGTTTCTTCATCTAACTGGAGAGAGCAGCTTAAGGAAAGTCCCAGTGGCGTTACAGAAGAAACTTACACATTCAAGTCATTGGGTTCACTTTCAGGTTATTGAGAACTAGCACAGATGCAGCGACGTTTTGGTTGCAGATACTATAAGGAGATATTAAGACCAATAGAAGTAAATGAGTATTTTTTGTTACTGTCTTTGCATTTTATTAAAACACTTCAATATTAATCTCTGTTAAAACTACTTTTGTTTACTTGAATGTTAAAATATTTAATTAGCATTGAGAACCTGGCAAGTCTCAGCTTTCTTGTGCAGCATTAGAGTAGCCAGATTTTCATTTCAGATCATTTCTCCCCAGAAATAAGGAGAACCAGCAATTAATCATCAAACAGTGAATATCCTCAATTCCTACTTAGTTGACACTGTTCATATGGTGTCCAACTGGAATGGCCTTACCAGATGAACAGATATACCATGGATTTCACAGTGGATGGCTGGGAGGTGAAAGCAGGTGCCTTCTGTCTCCTGCATAGGTGACTTAGCAGTGCCTAAAGATCAGCCATGAGTTGGATTCTGTTTGTCTTCTAGCGATAATCGCTTAAAACCAGGAAAACACTTCCCATCATTTTTAGCAGATTTGCTGTTTGATAGTGTTTTTCAGACGAAATTCCTAGACCCACAAAAGCTCAATATGGCAAAATGGTTATGGCAAGATATGAACTAAGCCTAAATAGCTTGGCTTTACCAGTGACTAACAGGCAGCACAAACTCTTCTTGCATCACCACTACTTCAGACACTTCAGAGCTGCACTTTGAGGCTTTGACTGTTTCTGCCATATGGGACAACATCTTCCTGGACAGTGCATTAGAGCTTCCTTACTTAAGTGTATCCTAATGATCTGAATTAGTTCTCCACCCTTTTCTGGACAAACTGTTGACAGCCTCTTCGTTCTCATCCCTGAGAATGTCTTGCCTTTATTTCTCTTGTCTTAATTCCACCCCAGCGTATGAAGTAATGATACTCTGGATGATTTGAAATTATTTCTCTTCCTCTTCCACAGCTGTTGGAAATGCAGGAGGAACTTTTCTCAGTAGCTCAAGGTGTCCATTTTTCTTCCATTTCAGCATAACCTTCTATATTATACTTTGTGGTTTGGCCTTAGAATGAAAAACAAGGGAGATCAAATGCCATTGAGAGGGGGGCAGAGATGTTTGAGGGCTTTTCTGTTCTTTTAATGTCAGGAAAAATGACATTCTGTCTTCATAAGTACTTCTCGGCAGCGAGGAAAAAAGTTTTGCAACTGTAGGGCTCTAGATAAACAGTTCCAGCTCACTTGCTTCGCATTAATTCTAAATGTGGATCCTCTACAGATAAAATCTGGTTTATAAAAGTGATTTTCCCCAATCACTATTGGCTGTTCAGCTGGGGTACGTAGGAATAATTGGTTTATTCTCCTTGCAGCTCATTATTTTCAAACTAACTGCCACTGTAATCTAGTTACACAGACAAATAAAGAATATAAATAATTTTTTGTGAATAAAATACAAATGATGGGCAGCAACAGTCTCCTCCAAAAATGGAAACCAGGAGGTCTCTGACAGGATTGCAGGAGCCTTGGCAGCTCTCTGCCTGTGGAAGAAGATGGTGCAGTTTTACCTTGCTTAGGTCAGGTTCTTTACCTTATTTTGTAGTTTTGATTTCTTCCAGAAGCAAAACCCCCAAAACTTTTGACATGGAAGTTTGAGGTCATTTTCCTGTGCTGACAAACCAGGAGCCATCAGGAATGTATTCTTTCCCTCGAGCTTCCTCAGAGCCATCCTGGTGTGAATCTTAAGAGCTGCTTGCTTTGAGGAAGATGTGTACTATAGTCTTCAGTCTCTCTGTACAGATTTGTATTTTGTTTTTAAACAGAAACTGCTTTAAGGAGACAAACTGCACACCTAGTTCCTTTTCCTTCTGTAGAGCTTATTTCTAGTAGAAAGTAATTTTAACACAATGATTGCAATGGCCTTGTTTGCAAACCAAAATCTTAGACTAAGAGTTTTTCTGAAACTCGGGTATTAGAAGTGGAATTGTAGCTTTTATAAAGAAAGCCACATATTCTTCTTTGTAGAACAAAACAAGAAAATCAAGTTTAGTTGTTTTTCCTCTTTCCTTTCGCCGCTTACAGAATGGCCAAACTCACAAGTCCTTCCCTTGGGCAGTTCCTTTGGGATTTGACAGCACATTGCCTGAGCTTTAGAGGCTTTTGTTCCCATCTGACCTGATGTCGTTATGAACTTCAGATAGCTCCTACCTGGCAGCTCTTGTCGGGTCTAGAGCAGCAATTTTCTGCCTGAGGTCTGAGAGCTCATGAGGATCTGCAAGTTGCTCCTCAGGAGTCTCTGAAGGGGGGCTGAGGTCAGCAGGGCCCATCAAGGGGCTGAAGTGACTTGATTCGTGTGTGGTCTCTGCCTCTGTTGACAAGTGTAGAGTGAGAGCCTGAAAACTGGCATTACCTTTGCTTCATTGTTGAGGCTGCCTGAGGGAGGGGTCCTCTAGAGTTTTAGGCCAGAACCATTTCCAAGGACACCTCCTGCTCCAGGAGCCCACACCGATGACCAGTGGCACATGAGACACGCAACACCCGCATCCTGTGAGCCATGACACCCATACAGTGAATCCTGACCACCATGGCCAGATGATGTGTGTTCTTCATTGTATCACCACCATTCCATAAGCAAACTCAGTGCAGTCAGGGCAAGCAAACCGCTGATGTGACTTTCCCTCCCTCCCTGTGAGGGCTGGCATAGGTTAGCCAGGATTCACTGTGCTCCTTCATGCCACGGGTGATGGTTTTACTCTGTGCCAGGGGTGGGGGGCTGTGGGGAGGGGGGGTCTCTTTTCATGTATTTGTATAGGAACTCTTTTTTAAACGCTAGCATTTTTATGTCTAGAAAGTAAAAAGACATTGTAAAATGTAATTGTACTGTATTTATGAAGAAAATACATTTCTTTTCAAAAAGACCTTATTCTAAGTTGGTTTTAGAGTCTGACTTCCAACAACATCATCTCTAGGCTTCCAGACACATTGAAACCTCTCTGGTTTGCACATACACCATTAAGGCTGTGCTGAACTCCTGAGATGGAAGAAAAGGTGATCCTCTGCCCTCCCATCTCAAGCAGAACTTATATTGAAGTATTTGAACACTTACTTTTGTTCAGCTTAGGCTCTGCTCAGGATCAGCAATGAAGATGCTGAAATAACTGGAGTCTGGAACAATGCAGCTTCCAAGTCTTGCCTCCAGGGAGAGGTAGGGAAGCCACTGCCCCTTTGCTTTGCCTGAAGCAGGGTGCATCCCCAAGAGAGGTAGGCTCAGGCCTCCTGTCCTGTCACTTGGGTCTCTCCCATGTGTAGAGAATGAGGTTTGGGGGACAAATGGCTTCAACCCACTTTCAGCAGGGTTGTGGTCTAGAAGGTGAGAAATGAGTCAAGAGAGTGATCTCTCTTATATAAATCTATACTGAAGTGAATTATATTTTTTCCTCTATTTAAACCATCAAGTTGGTTTTGTAATTTGTGACAGAGCTATTTTGCAACTCAGCTGTTGAAACAGTCCTAAAGCCTTTGAAGATTACAGCAGCTTTAATTCTAGGAAAGAAAACAAAGCAATAAGTGTAAATAGACACTGAGAGATCTCATAAATGGCTATTGTTATGCTTGTAGCCAGCTATAAAAATATTTGGTGTGGTTTTAAAGAATGGTTCTTTTGTTTTCATTTTTCCCCCCACTGATTTACTTGTTTTGCAGTCAATTTTCTTAGTATGAAAATGTTATTGGTTGGAAAACAAACCATATCTATGCCTTACGTAGTCCTTGCTGCTGCTTGGTCTCTAAGTTTCTGACTCCTAATTGCAAGACAAGGTAATTGTCAGCTCAGTCTCTTCCCTTAATCATCATTTTTTGTCCTTCGCCCTGCCTGGTTCTGCAGCTGCACACAACTCTGCACACTTTCATGCCTTTTTTAATAGCCAGATTAACAACACTTGCTTACCATAACTTCAAGCTACAGTGCCAGTCATCTCTCCCTTGATGGCCAGACCATTGTTTAAATGTCTGTGAGGGTGACAGCACATGGGTAACCTGCAGTCGTGAGTATTTTCTACATCACTGTCTTCAACAGACCAATTCATATGTTTGAATGCATTTTGTTGCCTCCAGTTTATCTTTCCCCTCTCATACTGTCGGATGGAAGGAGCAGGGATTATTGGGAAGCTGATTGAAAGTGGTCAGCCTTGAGTCATTTTCACTGTTGACTTTTGAATTTGATCTTAGCTGACAGACAATAGATGCAGATGAGCTCTTAGGAAGAAGTTCTTCCCCATGAGGATGCTGAGGCACTGGCACAGGGTGCCCAGAGAAGCTGTGGTTGCCCCATCCCTGGCAGTGTTCAAGGCCAGGTTGGCTTGGAGCAACCTGCTCTAGTGGAAGGTGTTTCTGCCCATGGCAGGGGGGTGGAACTGAATGAGCTTTAAGGTCCCTTCAACCCAAACCATTCTGTGATTCTATGATAGTTGTCCTCTCCCCTGGTTGCTGGTGCTGTAATAAATACCAGCTTGACAACACCAGGGGCCAGTGGTCTGTTTAGCAAATGCATCCCCTACACTTTCAGGTCTTTGATGTTTTGTCTATAAATCTCTGGCATGCCAGAGAACAAGCAAGACAACCAAAACCACCCCATCCGGACAAGGAAAACAGCTACAGAAGCTTGCTAATAGCTGGCTTATTTAACAAAACAACTGTGGCCCATTGCAGACAGAGCTCCACAGGGAGCAGTGAGAAGCCATAGGGATGACTTGAGGTTCTATGTCCCCTTACCTTTACTTGGAAGCATGTTGACCGGCTCACTTGGACATAACCATCTGCCTGACGCCGTTCCACATGCTGGATGGATGCATTGTAAAGACATCCCCTTCCATCCCATCTCCTGCTGCTTGGCGTGCAAAGATAGGGCCTTAAAAGGGGGAGAAAAAGATGGCAAGGTTGTTTTGGGTTCTTTCCATAATAGCACAGAACCTTTCAGAGGTAGCTCTCTTCCTGCTTCCCAAGACAATCAGAATGTGAGCATTTTGTATGTTCTGGAGCATTTACCTGGATTTTGTAAGAAAGAGTAATACAAAATAGCAGCAGAAGACTGGCCTTTGAAGGTGCCCTTAAGTCACACTTGCACCCAGTGACATGTTTGAATGGGAATCACTTTGTGTTTGGAGGTAAACTTCAGAGGGAATTTTTTATTGATCCCATGCCAAGGGGAGTATTAACCTTTTAAATACAAAGCCTTCATATATATATATATATATATATATACACACACATATATACACACACACACAAAATACAAAAGCTGGCAATTTTGAGAACCTCACTGTACAAGATGGGGTTGTCTTTTTCTCCCTAGTAATTTTTTAAACATAAATGCTCAGGTATTCAGTATTTCTCTACCCTTCTGTTGCTGCACTTTAGAACTACTAAGAAAGAAACCCTGCCATCTGCAGCATTTCAGTTCTTCAGTTCACCATTTTCAGGGTGTTCTGGTTGCTCTTCCCTTGCTGATGGGCAAAGCACAAGAGGACAGGACAGGGATCTGCCTCCTGCCAGAGGGGCTTGTGGAGACGGGGCTATTGTGGTTGAGCAGGACCTGGGCTTCCTCCTCACTGAGCTGCAGTGCCCAGAGCAAGGCACTTAACAGCACACAGCCTTTGTCCTCATTAGGTTTCAGTGTTAACAGGGCTCACCTAAGCTGCTTTTTTGCTCCACTTCAAGCATCACACAGCATCACTACAAGCACCCAGCACAGTCTAGGGCTGGACCACTTCCACTTGTTTCCCATTTTGGAAGCAATAGCATCCAGATCACGAGAGCTAGCATCAGTTATTAAGTCACCATTTTCAGAGGTTGGCAGGGAGAAGCCACTGCCCAGGGCAGAGTCAGAGCCCTGCCCAGCCAGCAGGATGCTACAGGGCAGCAAACCCAAAGGGACCCATCCCTTCACAGTATCACAGTATGCTAGAGATTGGAAGGGACCTCAAAAGATCATCTAGTCCAATCCCCATGCCAGAGCAGGAACACCTAGATAATGTTACACAGGAATGTGTCCAGGCGGGCTTTGAATGTCTCCAGGGAAGGAGACTCCACAACCTCCCTGGGCAGCCTGTTCCAGTGTTCCGTCACCCTCACTGAGAAGAAGTTCCTTCTCAAGTTTAAGTGGAACCTCTTGTGTTCCAGTTTGTACCCATTACCCCTTGTCCTATCATTGTTTGCCACTGAGTAGAGCCTGGCTCCATCCTCGTGACACTCCCCCTTTATATATTTATAGACACTTATAAGGTCACCCCTCAGTCTCCTCTTCTCCAAACTATAGAGACCCAGCTCCCTCAGTCTTTCCTCATAAGGGAGATGCTCCACTCCCTTAATCATCTTTGTTGCCCTTCGCTGGACTCTCTCCAGCAGCTCCCTGTCCTTCTTGAACTGAGGGGCCCAGAACTGGACACAATATTCCAGATGGGGTCTCACCAGGGCAGAGTAGAGGGGAAGGAGGACCTCTCTCAACCTACTAACCACCGCCCTTCTAATACACCCCAGGATGCCATTGGCCTTCTTGGCCACAAGGGCAGTGTCGGCTCATGGTCATCCTGTCGTCCACTAGGACCCCCAGGTCCCTCTCCCCTACACTGCTCTCTAGCAGGTCGTTCCCCAACCTATACTGGAACCTGGGGTTGTTCCTGCCCAGATGCAGGACTCTACACTTTCCCTTGTTATATTTCATCCCGTTATTCCCTGCCCAACTCTCCAGCCTGTCCAGGTCTCGCTGGATGGCAGCACAGCCTTCTGGTGTGTCAGCCACTCCTCCCAGCTTAGTGTCATCAGCAAACTTGCTGATAGTACACTCGATTCCCTCATCTAAATCGTTGATGAATATATTAAATAATACCGGTCCCAGTACTGACCCTTGAGGCACTCCACTAGTTACAGGCCTCCAACTAGACTCAGCCCCATAGACTACAACTCTCTGGCTTCTCTCCTTCAGCCAGTTCACAGTCCACCTCACTACCTGATCATGCAGACCACACTTCCCTTGCTTCACCTCCAAACACTACAGGGGTTTGTCTCCTTTGTTTGCAAGGGTTTGGGTTTCTGTGACCAACCCCAGGGCTGGTTGTTCCCAGTCGGAGGAGTGGAACACTTCTGCCTATTCCCCTGCTTGCCAAAGCTCCCAGTGTGACTCCCGGCAGCTCCTGCTCCCTGCCTGGCCAGCCCAGGCTCCATCCCAGAGCTGTCTGCAGCAGAAGGAAGAAGAAACCACAAACTGGTTTGATGTTGGAGCCAGCCATATTGATTCAACTCTTTCCCATCCCTTTGCCTTCCCAAACTGAGAGCAGCCCAGACCATTTTATCATCTGTTTTCCTAGAGGGAAATACTTATCCTTTCATCTCAGTGCTGTGGTTAAATCCCGAGCTGATGGAAAGACCTCAGTGCTGACCAGTGAGGGAGCTGGTGCTTGAGCATCATTTGGGACCAGCGGAGGGTGACCGAGTCTCCCTCTTGGGGGTTCATCTGCAAAGGAAACAAACCCTTCCCATCAGAAGTCATTTACAGAGTGCAGGATTATGGACTTGGGTGTTTAAATGCTGAGGAGTTCCAGGAATGTCACTTCTTGGGGGGAGGAAAAAGCAGTTTCTGCCCCATCACATGTCCCGTGTCACCAGCCAGGCAAGTCCCACACTGGGACAGCTGAGAGGGCACCAGAGACTTAGAAAAAGAAAACAGGACTGGGAATTACTTAATTAGAAACAGTTTTCTCCTTTAATGCTCTGCAATTGCTTTGAGGTTAGTAGAATTATTAGTATTATTAATCACTGGATTTCCAGAGAACTAAAGTTAATAGTACCATAATTGGGGCACACCATCCAGCAGCAACTGCTCAGTGCCAGCAGGCAGCTAATTAGGGCTTCCAGCCCTTCTCTTTAGGCAGATCTTGCTTCTTCGAAGTCTACACCATGGATAACTCAGCTGCAGAGGGTTAAAAGCTGAGGTAAGTGCAGCAGCAGCCACAAATTAGCAAGGCTGAGACTTCCAATGGCTCTGCCCAGGTTTCCAGTCCTGCCCATCACATCTCAGGCCACTTACTTGCCTTTAGGTGCCTTTGGATGCATCCCAAGGCAGGCAAGGAAAGGTGCTTTCTGTATGAGGTCCTCCAGCTGGAGCCAGGCCACAGTGATGTTTTGGTCCTGAACAGGCTGGGAGGAAGCTTTTCTGTCCAGGTTTGTTGGTTAATGAGGCTGTTATTGCTCTACCTGCAAAGAGTGAAAGGGGATTTACATAGTGAAGTACTGAAGGTAAAAGGATAACCACGATAAGGAATGAAGAGGGGAGGGTGGCAGGATACTAAAGTAAGGGATATCCCAGTCCTTCATTTGAAGAGGGAGCTCCTTCCGGATGTGATAACGCTCACCAAGTCTCTTAGCACTACAGGAGAGCCTTGCTAACATACCATACCATCACCCACCACCAACACAGCAGCCCAGCTTGCTATGGAACTGGGATGGAACGTCTCATGGAGTGCTTCAGAACCGAGAACTGAAAGAAAAGATGAAGAATAAAAGAAAGCAGGTACATTCACTAGTCCCAGTCACCATCTCTGGCAACACAGTGAGCTCAGGGTTAAGATGAAGGCTGAGCACTCACAGAACCCAGGATGAATGGGACAGACATGAAAGGCTGGTGCAGCAGGAACTGAAGAAGACACACCACCATTCCAACACCCTTCAGAGCAGCTTGTCCATCTCTATCCTACCCAGTCACACATAAGACACCCTTTTCCTCCTGCTGCCTGCTTTGCAGACAGCCAAACACTTCAACCCCTTACAGTCACCCCTGCTGCAGTGTGCCAAGTCCCAGCCTGCTTCCAGGGCCGGTTTATAAACCCTTGGAGCCGCCCCTTTGCCAGCTGCTGGGAATCAGCTCTTCCCAGCAGGTCCATCCCCTCATTGCCCCTGCAATTGGCATCCCATCCCGATGGACCTCCCAGCCCTTGCTGCCCCAGCAGCTTTCACTCTCCCTGGATGCTGTAGGCTCTTGCTGGCCATGGCAAACAGAATCTGCCTTCATTCCATGGTAGAAACTTCTACACATTGATGCCAGAGTGTATCCAGAAATTGGAGAACACAGGAACATGTTTGCATCCCTACTCAAGAAGGAGATAGTAATTGCAACTTAATTGCATTAGTGCTAACTGCAAATTACCTGCCGGTGGAAAATGAGGAGGTTAAAGCTGACTAAACAATGCAAATTAAAGATGCAACCGGCAGTATGGCCACACATTATGAATAAACCTAGGTTTAGCCTGGACAGAGAAAGCAGGTTTAGGTCTCTTGTGCAGACACGGTGGGACAGTGTCTGCCCTCCCCCACGTGGATGCTGCTGAGTGACCCCCTCAGGTTACAGACCTGAAATCGACATTTAGCCCATCCCACAGCCTATTAAGATAATGAAACCCAAATTCCGGTGTGAGTTCAGGTGCCTGGTGCAGGGAGGATCAGCAGCCAAGCCGTGCCATGCGGTTTAACCCTCAGATGCTGCTGCTGAGTCTTCAAGAAAGCAGCCAAGACCTAGATGGATTAGAAAAACACTGAGCAAATCAGGCTTGAACCAGCAGCACATCACGTGTGTAGCAAAAGGCTTTGGTGCCAATACTTCATCATTTTAAACCAGGGTTGCAGGCTGCCTGCGCAAGGCATTGCCAGTGAGGTGATGCCCTGCTGTATTCATCCTCCCGATGTCTCAAAGTGCTGCTCAGGCCATTGCCCTCCTTCTCAGGGCAGGTATGTCCATGGGCATTGCCCAGCTTTTAGGCACTGCCCAGTGAAAAGGCGCATTTCCCAGTGTCCAGCCCATTCAATACTGGTCTCTCCTTAGGGAGACAAGCCCGAGCAGGGACAGGTCACCCAGAGGCCCCCCAGGCATCACTGGAGATGCCCGTGTGCACCTGCTCTGCCTTTTTCTCTGTTTTCAATATGAAGGAAGGGAGGAATGAAGCCACGTGTTCACAAGGTCAGGGATGGATTCCAGGGAGTTTTGTTTGGGGTTAGCATTAAACATTTCACTGGTGCTTTGTCTCTGTGTGGCTGTGCATTGTTGGTCTTCGTTTTATGCCAGTCGAAGTTACCCCACAGCACTGAAGGTTCATAAACCTCCAGCAAAGCATTTGAGCTGCTTTCACAGCTGAATTCATCCTCCCAGCTTAGTTATTTTCCCTTTGCAGAGGGACCATTGGGGAAAACAAACAATGGTTGTCTTTGAGGTGCAGAGCTCTGCTGAGACCATCTTTATATGGTTGATTACAGTGGGTTTTAAACCCAATCCCAAACTTCACTGGAGAACCCAAGTTCTTCCTGTAGAATTTCCTAAAGCCTCTAAAGGTGGGAATGCTCCAGGAGCGATTTCCCTGGAGAGGTTCCTTTGGTTGGGCTGCAGCTCCAGGGTTGGTGTTCGAACCAGCAGGGACCTGCCTAGTACATGTTGTAGGAAATATCCCTTCTTGGTTCCTGATCTCCACAGAAAAGCATCATTTAGAAGGAAACCTCCAGCCTGCAGAGAGATGATGTAAAAAGTGTCTGCGCTTCCCAACCAAGGGGTTTGTGGCTAAGTCAGAGCTTCGTTACCAGGGACTGCCTCATCTCCTGTTATTATTTGTCTCATACTTTGGTATTCTTCTGGCTTCTCATCATTTCAGCTCCTCTGAACCTCCCTTACCCTGTTCCTCCAGCTTTGCTGTTCTTGTAAAAAATGCCCAGATTTCCATTTTCCCAGGTTTCCATTTGGGGTTTCCTGTGCAAGCCATGGGCTCCACTCCTGCCCCTGCATCTCATACCTGGAATCGGTCCCCACCTCCCTTGGGACAGCAGCAGCAGCAACTCAAACCTCATCTTGACTTGCAGCTGTTGGTGCTTCTCTGGGTAAGCACTGAAGTGTTAGGGATTTTGGGCAGCACCATAAAAGCGGTTCAAGCCAAGCACAAAATTTAGCAGCAGCATGGGGGCTTTCAAGGGCATTTCCACCTGCAGCTCAGCACAGCCACTACCTACAGCAAGAAACACAGAGGAACCCGCTGCTGACTTTCCTTGACATCACTGCTTTAAAACCCCTGGTATTTCATGCTTCATAAACATAGAGAATAAGAGGCAAGCTTCATTTATCACCTAAATAGTGCTATCAATGGCGGCTCCATGCTCCAGGCTGGATTCTGGCACTGGTGATGGACACTGCTCTCGGTACAGGCAATAAACAGATCAATAGGACAATGCAGCCCGGAGCGCTGGAGGTGTGATAATGCAACCACAGCTTCAAAACCTTGCTGAGACCCTCACTGAAGACATTTGTGCTTCTGAAAACAAGTGGTACCTTGTCGGGTTACATGTAGCTGTGAAATACTGGTCTGAGGAAGGCCTGAAACACGGTGCTGGCCCAGGAGAGCAGCCTGGGGCTCTGCTGGGTGACCAACAATCAGGGAAATCTGAACTGCAATTAACTGAAAGAACAATGATCAAAACAACCCCACAGCCTCCTCTCATCGAGCACAGCAGAACCTGGCAGTGGGAGAGGAGATGGAGTGCCGGAGGATGGGCACAGGTTTGTGCCAGTGTCACAAAAGACACTTTACAAGTGATGCAATGCTGAAATGATGCATTCTGGGGGTTACATCTTTGCAACTTCATCTCTTGTGGAGCATCTTTGCACTTTGCCACCTCTTGACGCAGAGCCCAGAAGCCATTCCTGGGTAGAATGGGCTGCTCGTAGCTCAGGAACAAGCTCAAAAGCATCCCTGGACAAGGCACATGGGCTGTGGCCATGTCACCAGGGCTCAGGCCAGCTTGTCCCTTGTCCCAGTGCCGCCAAATCCAGCCATAAACACTCTTTTCTTTCCTTGTCTGATCCAGCACGACCTGAACTCAGCACCTTTGGCGTCACAGCAGCCTCCTTGCCCCATCGGGCCTGGGCACAACATCTGAGGTGGCTTCCATGAGGCATCACGGCCACTTCCAGCCGCCCCCTGGCCCCCTGCCCGGTGCTGCCCGGCTCGGGCTGTGTTTGTGATGTTGAGCACACTGATTTCCCAGTAGCCTCTAGATGGCAATCGCTTGCAGCGCTGCTGAGGAGCCTCTCCGAGGCTGCCGGCATGGAGCTCACCGGCTGGTAGAGCCGCCGGCTGCATCACCAGCGGCCGTCTCTGCTGCGCCCTGCCTGGGAGCAAGCAGTGCTCTGAGCCTGATGTTATTTCCCAGCATCCTTTTTTGTGTTGTAACTGCTTGTTCACCCTGCCGGGGGGAGAGTGGCACCTCCCTGGTGCCGCAGCATCTCCCCTGGGGACCCGGCTCCTGGTGCTGGGTGTTGGCAGCAAGGAGCAGGAGGGCATCAGCCCACCATCAGCCTCAACATCAGTGTCAGTGTCCAACGTACCTGGAGAATAATAATCATTAAATCATCACCCATTTTACCCCTACCTCGCTAGAAGAGGCTTTTCCCATCACAGCTGAAATTCAAAGTGTGTTTAAGTGCCCCCCCAGCAGGGAAAGCCTTCCGGGATGTCTCACTGCAATGGGTGAGCTTGGGACACTGCAGATTTGCACTGCCCCCCAGCACGCTGCTCACCGCATGCTCTATGTGGGGCTGTGGTGTGCTGCTGGGTCCTGCTGCGGACGAGTGAGCAGCTTCAAGCCGGGGGACAACAAATATCACCTTCCCTCAGGGCTGGGCAGAGCATTCATCACAGCACATCACCAGGAGCAGCGACATGACCGGAGCAATGCCATGTGCATCCCGGGCAGTCCCCAGCGATGGACACAGTGACTTGTGTTAAGAAAGGAGCGTGCTTCCAGCCCATGGGACCACTCGCAGCAGCTGCCAGGCACACAATATGGCAAATATTGCCAGTTTCCTCTGATAAAATATAATCACAGCCTATTTCAGCCTCAGTGGTGGGAGATGGAGAAGAGCCAGTGTCACCTTCCAGCTTCGGTCCTGCATGCTCACACTTACACGCAGCCACTTGTGCTCTCTAATATCAATCTGTGCATTCTGCAGGTTACTGAGCTGCTGCTGGAGCTGGAGGAAGACAGTGGATTTTCATATGAAGACCTTCCATTTGCTGTAGCTGCTGCATCCTCCCTCCAGCTAAGGACAAGGCTCAGCTCATCCTGCAGCCCCGCTCATCCCACTGACCACCCTCTGCCTTCACTTTCCCAGGTAACAACTTCCCTGCACATCTGGGTTCAGGATTTTCAAGGGAGGTGCCTAGGCTCTCCCTGCCCCCAGGTGAAGGTGTAGCACTGTCAGGGTGGGAGCAGCAACAGCCCCGGTGCACATCACCCGGCACAGCTCAGCACAGGAACCAATTACCCCCCCAAGAAAGGGGGATGCTCATGCACAGCGGGTCAGGAGCAGGATGAGCTGCTGGTGTGCTCGTACCAAAGAGCTTTCCCAGCATCTCTGGGGGACTGGGATTTCCTGGTGGGATATTTGCCCAGTTCTGGAAGTTCTCTGGTCACCAGGGGCTGAGAGCCATACAAGGGAGCAAGTAGCAAATGATGAACCATTATAGAAAGGCACGAATCACCAGGATAATAAATAATGCAGTAAGAGGTAATTCATTATCTCTATTTACGCTGTGCTGCCTGGTTATTGATTTGGATGTGGTTTCAGTCTAGGCAGCCCTGACTCCTTCAGGATTTCATCTGTGTTTTTCCATCTTCCCTTTGTTAAAGGCCCCTGTGCTGCAGGTCTGTACAGGACATGCAGCCTCCTGCTTCAGGAACCAGTGCTGTATTTCCCTGGCACAGACCATCCTAAACCAGCACTGGGCAGTGTCAGGGAGAGAAAAAGA